AAAAAGTTAAACTTTACCATAACTCTGGCAAGTTTTGCATGCACAGCAAATTATACCAGCAGAATTCTAGTATTTGGTGGTAAGAAGAGGAAGACTAAAGGTTCTTAGCAATTCTTGCTTCAAATTATCTCAACTGTTATAATGACCTGTGGAACCATCACTATACCTTTACTATGCTCAGAATATTGTTTACCTCAGCTACTTGATATTAAGTCTTAAACTTATGAAAATCTGGCCTTCAGTAGAGCTGTTGACTACAGGCCATAAACCAAACCATTCCATTAAGAGCTGGGGAAAAATGGGAAAAGTTGAATCTATAGCCAAGTGACTAGGCTGGCCATGCTGGAAAATACAAGAATATACTGTGTTGAGCAGTAATATTTGAAGTGTTTGATTTTCAATCAATTCTTGATTGAAAACTAAAAAATAGCTCATAGCAAATGTTGACTTGGAGACAATATTGATATGCTGCTGCAAAAAGGGAAGAGAGAGTGAAGGGTTTGCTCTCCAATTTTTTGTGACAGTGAGTGTGATTTCCTATATAAAAATATTAAGTAAATGCAAATTTACTTCAGTTCCACCTTCAATGTCAATAGGAATTTTGAGACAAGGAGATGGTAGAAAGTATTAGTAGAGGAAATCTGCAATTGAAATAAATATGCTCACTTAGTTTCTTGTTCAAATTCTTGATATGTGAGCTCCATCGAGAGACCACGGGTTTAGGTACTCAAATTTTGTCTGGAATATTTTCTAGCATCTAAGTGAACTGTACTTTCAGAAAAAATCCTCCTCAGAGTACAGAGGAAAAAAAGTACATTTTGCCAATATTTTTTCCCCCACCTTTTTCCTACACAGAAAATAAAGGCTTTGGAAAATCCCACTCTCCTCGGGTGAAATTATGTACTACCAGCATAAGGTATGTAAAGTGTGATTCCCTTGGTGCCTTTTCCATGCTATCTCTTCTTGACTCAGTCCATTTCCCTGTAAGTAAATCCCACAGATGCTTGAGCAAAGGAGAACTGCTCTAATATTATTTTAAATTGTCAAGCATTTTTCCTTGTGTATTGATGTAGAAGCTGCTGTGCAGAGGCTTTTTGCAGACTAACATTTTCCAGAAGCTAACTGTTAGTAGGAAAGTGTACTAATTGAAGTTATTTCCTACATTCCTTCCTAATCTTCATTAATTGTGTGTCACGTGTTTATCCCCACTTATACCTAACTGGAAGAGAAGGAAATGGTTTGCAACTTTAATCTTAGAGGATGAGCTGCTGACTTCCAAAGAAGGAAGTACTATGAATGGAAAATGATGCTATTCTTAAAATTTCTATGCCAAACCACCTAACGAAGGGCATGTAAGAACATTATACTGCAGCCAGCATCAGCAGATACCTTACAATATTGTATTTGTTGGAATGAAAAGTAATGCCCATAACTCAAAAGCTGCTCAAGGTTACAGTGATGAAATTGATTCTGTATCAGTTTTACATCCATCTAAACGCTGGCTCCTTTTGTGTTGATAATTTTGGATTAATCTGTTGGCATCATGCATGTCAAAATGAAATTCACCCCCATTACTTCTATGTCATTGCTTTAACACTTTCATGCACTGTTCAGCTTTCTGCTGCTAGTCTCTGTTGCTTGTTAAGTTTTTGTCAAGATGTGCTGTAGAGGGCTTAAATGCCTCAGTCAAGGAAATGCAGTGATTGTGTATGCTACATCTCTGAATTCATAATTTGACTAGATTTTACCAGAGCTATTTTAAAATGGCTGCCAAGGGAGTTCCAGCAACCCGGTTCAGACAATCTCTGCTCTTGAAATAAAAGCAGAGATTGCAGTTCTATGGTCATGTGTAAGGCTGGTGAAATTCTGGCTAGTGGAAGAGTAGCAGAAAAAAATCCTATGGCCACTTCTGCAGAACAACTTTTACTGATAGAACATTGCTGCTTGGTTTGGCAGCCTGTGATCAGCAAGTCAGGACTACAAAAGCAGATATGGAAAAGACCTCAGTCACCAAGTGTAATTGTACTTTTTGAGGTATTTGTACAGTGGTCAGCCAGTGATTACTGTGGCAAGACTGCAATTAGATTTCCTCTTGATATGTTAACTGATAGAAACGGACCCCACATTCTTGAAAAAATGTTTATTCTTCCTAAAATGATAAACCCAATCAGGTTTCAGCAGAATTTTATCTTAAAGTTATATAAATGATACATACAGGCCCTTTTATTCTGCAGTATGATTCAGAATGAAGATACTCTCCCATGTAGATTCTCTTTTTAACAACAAGTATATTGCAAAATAAATTTACCCTGTTACTAAATGAACATTAAAGGTTCATTTACATTAAAGGTTCATTAAAGGTTAGCTATGCTGATGGAATGATTGGAAATAGTCTCATAAAAGTTTAAGGGTAGGGAAACAAAGCAATGACATAACCATGACTCAAAACACATCTTTTATCTCTGCTTCTGCATCTGCTGCTATAACAAACACATTTGCCATGCAACCAACTTTTCTTTTTTAGGCCTTGGATTTTAGCAGTGATTTTTGTAGCACTGGTGTTGGGGCTCCTAGGTCAGACATATAGTGAAAGCTTATGGGAAGTTGTACCGCTACTCATGGGCTCCAGAAACTTTTAAAATACCATCTCTGTTAATACTCAGCTGTGGAACTTAAACATTAAAATCCTTCTTCTTGTCGCTAGTTCTGTTGCCACTTGCATAGTGACAGCATGCAGAATTATAAGTAATATCTTTGGTAACAAAAGCACCTGAACACCTGACCAATATGGGAAAGAGAAAGGTGACTTCTGATTAAGCTGACTAGAAGCAGGAATGGGACAAAGTCCTACAGAAAGGTCAGCTCAGGTATAGATAACTTATGTAAGCTTAGGGCAAAGATGGTAATGATACAGTGGAATTAACTTTGTTGCAAAATGATTCGTTAGTTCAGGTTGTCAAACAATTTATGGTAAATAAATTAATGCATACATACAGATGTTATCTGTGCATTACCAGTAGGGTTCTTCTGGGTTAAAATATATAGTCCAAAAACCTTTAAGGTAGCTGAGCAAGAGATAAAATGGGCTATGATGTCTAACTGAAAGATTGATTATTTCTAAAAAACATATAAAACAGATGGTAGACAGGATCATTACCCTTCTGTCAATAAGGAAACAGAGACAGTATAGTTTAGGACACCTTCTAATGCTAGCAAAAGTACAAAAACCTAAGACTTTTGGAGATAATAATCTGTATTTATTTCTCTTCAGATCATCACAGCCATGTCAGCTCAAGTGTGAATTCTATAAGAGTGGTCTCAGTGCTTAAAGACATGTTGATGTCCCGTATTCTCCAGTTAGGGATGTCACAGCAAGCCACACATATGTCAGGAGAAGGGACAATGGGAAGTTGGTCACTCTGAGGAGCAAAGACTGCAGAAGGAGAATGGTCCTGTGTAACTTCACAGCTCAAGAAGGAATCATGCTCCTTGTACAGGCAGGACAAAGCTGGAGTAGAGCTAATCAGTCTCTAAAATTTAGAGGTGCTTATCTAAAAATAGCTCTTCTCCTACTCAGAATATATTAATATTATAAAAATACTAGCAGATTGAACTGAGGGATAGTGCAACTGTAGTTGAGGGATTATTATCTTTCCCAGTCAGAAGAAATGAATGAGGCTGATTCTACTGAGATCTAGAAGTTTTATGGCAAAGAAACCTGAATGGAAAATATGCAAGTTTCCAACTTACAGCTGTCAGCATACACATCCAGTTTAATCTAAAAAGGGGTCAGGTCTGCTGTGTACATGGAGTTGCTGTTGCAGTTTGCAAAGACTGTTATAGGAATTAAGTAATGGAAACCCTTTTTCTTCTGAGGTTATACTTCTAGCCAGGAGACTACCTAGAAAAATGGAGAGGAAAAGAAAACCTCAAAAAACAGTCCTTTGGGAATCTCCTAAGTATTTTTAGAAAACTCTTCTGAACTAAGAGTTTTGGTGGCATAAAAGACAGAAAATGCCAAGTGGAGAGATGTCGCCGAGATATCATAATAAATTAAGTCTGGTAAAGCGACCACTGAGGAAAGATGTCTGTAGACCATGTTTTTGCTTTGTTTTTTATCTATGGTTGGTTCTAACTGGTTATTACTGGGTTTATTTTTATTTTCCAAGAAGGAAATTAAGGTTATATTCTTCCAGTGGTAGATTTATGACGGATAAAGGGGTTCCTACTTAATTTCAGTCAGGATTGTTGAGTGATACACTATGTAAGGGTAAGAGAAGCACAAATTTGGACTCTCAAATAGAGAAAGGAGAAAATCTAAAACCTTTTGAAATGTATTGAGGGAAAACAGGAAGATGTTCAGATAGAGTCTAGGCTATAGTTGAGATAAAATTGTTAAACAAAAAAATAGCAGCTAAAAAATATTCTTTTATGATAAGAGAGTATTTCTAGTTGACTAGAGCAGTCAAAAGGGCTAAGTAAAAAGTTTCCTTGATGTTTTGAAAAATATGAAAGTTCTACTTGTAATATGATCAATGAAAGTAAGAAATACTTTAAATAATCAAGACAATTACAGATTTCTGGTCACTGCATTGAAAATTTTTTGATAAGGAAATGTGGAGACTGGAAGCAGATGTGTTACAAGATGTCTTGAAGGAAGTGTGCTCTACCTCAAGGAGACTGTGTTTTGTCTTCTGGAGAGAGTTGCATAAAGACCTTCTAAAAAAAACTTCTCAGCACAAAATAATGTGCACGTGGAAATCCTGTATTTCTGAAACAACATTCTGAACTGGTTCCTGGTTCTGTTTTCTGCTTTCTTCTCCCAAGGAACCTCCCATCTTTCTCTGCACAAAGCAAAGCTGACCCTATAGCTTTTGTAGGATCTGATGTGGGACAGCAGACTGCAATTTTGTCATTTATGTAGAAAGTAAGCCAGAATGAGCAAGAATGTTTAGGAGAATTAAGAACAGTAATGTTTTTCCATTTTCCCTTCTTCTTTTTACTTTTTCTCTAAAGCTTAATATTATGTGAGAATCCCTACAACTTTGATGGACATTCTGTTACACCATGATAAGGTTTGAAAAAGGACCTCTTCTACTGTAAAATCCTTGAACCTACTGTGTCACCCAGTCTCAATTTTGTTTTGGGCAAAATATGCAGTATGGGCACTATTTTGGTTTAGATGTTCCCAAAGCTGTAAAATTAAAGAAATCAAATAATTGGATGCAAAATAATCTTACAACACTTGATTTACCATTTTATTTGTAAGGATTATTGTTAATTACAAAGTGCATCACAAGCATCACTTAATTTTTACAGAAATCACCCTATGTGATGATGAAAAATGAAAAATTCTTTGGTTTTGAAGCCTTTATTTTAGGGTCTCGCCTTAAAATTTCTTCAAGGGGTTTCTTTGTTCAGCCACCCCAAATTCATTATTTGTTATGGGAGTTGCTGAAGGTTAAACTTGGTGTGAGCATTTGAAGGATTTAAAAGCACAGCATCCTGTAGATGAAATAGAGCAATAAAAAATTACATGATTACTGAATCAATATTATAGTTTCCTGTATGCTGAATTCCTTCATTTATGGCGAAAAATGATTGTCTGTTGACTTCTTATCTTCTGCAAATATCACACCTGTTTTTTCACCCCTCCTCTTGGCTCCTCCCTTTGAATTCCCCTGTGACAGAAACAATTGCCCCAGTCGGTATTATAAAAAGCTGAGGTTCCAGTCAAGCTCCCATTCACCCACCTTAGCCACCATGGGGCTAAGAGCGGCCAGCCTCCTCCTCCTCTGGCTGGCTCTTTCCTCTGCTAATGAAATAAAAAAAGGTAAGCTCTAGAGATTAAATGGTAGCAGATTGCCTCCTGGAAAAGAAGAAGAGAGTTAAAATATCGCTGTGGTGCTAGAAGGAGGCAGTGCATTTAAATAATGCTCTGGAGTTTTAGGATGTCTTAAATTGCTTAAGCTTTCAAATACTGAGGCTGCATTCCTTAGAAAAAAATTGGTAGATCCTACTTTCTTTGGCGAGATTAGTGCCTATCTCTACTGCATTGACTTCTAGTTTGATGTGCTTGGAAAATATCTTCAGTGTTGCTTTTCTTTCCATGCATTGAGTCTATACTAGGTATGGCAAGAAAGGAACTCTTAAGGCAAAAATGCAACTGGCAGAAAGGAGCTGTAGGACTTTGAGAGGTTAATTGTTAAAGCAATGAAGGAAGTGGATGATCGTGTTGTCTGTTACTTTGGAACATCATCAATTGTTCCTCAAAAATGAATGTAATAACATTGAAAACAGCTTATTTTGTCATTTAGGACATTTTTAACCCTTTTGCAAAAGCTCTAACTTACTGTATTTGCTATCAAATTTGAAGTGATGGAATGGAGCACTCATACTGAAAACTGCTTTTTAGAGGAATAGGTGATTAGTTATATCCAGTGATCAGGTTTGGTCTATTGAGCTTGGTCTGCTGTGTCTTGAACTCAGCAATGGGAGGAAAGCTTTATCTTGCATTTGGTCTTCCAGCTGTAAGCTCTGGGTGAATCTCTGTGCAGCCTTCCTTCTGGGGAAGGAAGTGTTCCAGCTTGGCTGGATGTATCTGGTATGATTGGTACCATCAAAATACAGTAACCTAGAGGTTTTCTTAGCAGTTTTGCTTTCTCATGATATATGCTACAAGAAAATCTTGTGAAATGTTAAGATTCCTAAGGATGCTCAGCTTTTATGATTCGCCCCTAATCTACAGTACCTGGAGATTTATCAGATATTGTTGCTAATTTATATTTTTTGTTGGTATAGATAGCAGGGAAAGGAACAAATAATCTTGATACTTTGGTATTGCAAAAACTTCTTTTTTTCCTCTCCTACCATGGCTATTTTCTGACCTTTCTTCTGAAAAAATCCTGTCTTGCAGTAATAGAAATCACTACTGCTTTTAGGAAAAGAAATAATTCCCTGAAATCTCTTGTGCAGAAGCCATTTCATAACCTTGAGACTATTAGCCTTCCAGAGTTGGTAGTACTTTCTTGGTTTTCTCCCTGTTTTGTTTCTAGTACATGTTGCACCAGGGAAGAAGATCTTGGAAAAATTTAATACTGTGATTCAGAATAAAATAATATGCTTGGCACAGAAGCCAAGTTAGTGGTCAGTATTAAGTTTCCTCACTTGTTGCAGATAAGTTTCTTCATCTCATTGAGGCTTAAAGAATATACCCTGGTCTCAGAATTATTTATTAACATCTTATTCTGATTTTGAAATTTCCATATTTTCTGCTGACCTGGTAGATACTTGATCCTGCTTGAAATCTGTGGAATCACTGTGAACATAATTGCAGATGGTTCCTACTGTAAAATGGAACACTTAGCATTTTTCACACTGGATCGTTTCTTGCACTTCTTTTCATCTCTATTTCTTTTTCATCACTAACAGGAAGGACAAGAAGCCATGGCCACTATGTCTGTAGCACTTGGGGAAACCACCATTTCAAAACTTTTGATGGAGACATCTACCAATTCCCTGGCGTTTGCGAGTATAATTTTGTTTCTGACTGCCGAGAGGCTTACAAGGAATTCTCTGTCCACATCCAGCGTGCTCTCAACAGCAATGGCCATCCTGAGATCCAGTATATTCTGGTGAAAATCAAGGATATAATGGTCTACCTCAAACCCAACCTGGTTGTGGTGGATGGGCGGATGTAAGTTCCTTTACTGTAATGGTATTCAGAGAAATGTACTGGGAAGATAAAAGCAGGATTGATTCTTTACACAACTATCTGTGTACTATTACAGAAACTGCTGCAAAGCATTTCCACAGACAAACAAATAAACAAAAAAGACTTTTGAAATTCAGCATTAAAATTGCTTTGGGGAGGGGCTTTAGTACTAATTGTCATTTCTGCACTGGCATAAGGGATTATTTAAATACAAGTCAGGAATAGGTTTGAATGAATTGTTCTTCCAGTTATGCAGAAAACAGTGAGCCAGATTTTTCATTGGCTTAAAATGATGTAGCTTAATTTTTTTAATGGCATCATCTTGAGTTTACCTTAGCAGATGGTCTAGCAAATCCTTGAAAAGGAAATGCATTTCTCTGGGATATTTTCCTCTTATTTTCTGACAGAAGAGAGGTAGTTTTTTCTGATCTTCATAAATAATTTTTAAAGATCTGACAGCCATTCGTCAGGGGATTTTAACAGATATGACACAGGTGAAAATTCACACTAATTTATCTGTGGTACTGTGTACTTTTTCAGACTAAGCTGTGTTATTTTCCTTCTCCTATAACATGATTACACAAGAAACTCATCTGATACCATTACTGATGCTAAGTAGTGTCTTAACCTAGTCTTTCCTATCATGAGCTTATCCTTGTAGTGTGTGCCTTTATACTCTGAAGCAAGTGAAGCAACTCATGAGTTAATTAGTATGTTTTAGCATAATTGAAAAAAAGAGAATTTTAAATTGTCTTTGGAGAACTCAGTTTTGCCCAGAATTCAGCTTTTGCTCTGAAGTTTGGAAGCCACTACAATGAAAATATGTTCAAGGATTGAAAGTAACATTTAGTTTTCCAAAGATCATACTAGAATGCATAATAAAATGACAGAAAGTTACAAAAAATACATTATTGCCTCAAATTGGAAAAGCTCTTTATTGTGTACTCAAGTCTTAAAAATAACTTCATGAAAATCTAGTTCGAAGTCCTTGTAAAACTGGTTCTCTTAAATTGAGCCATTTTTGTCTTAGATAGACTTTTTTGCCATAAAACAACAGATCCCTGCCAAACTGGCTTTTACTGCTTGAAAAATTTTTTTGGGTAGAACTTAATTTTCCATATTTCTCCTGAAATGATAAATTATCTATTGCCATGTAAAATAGCATTTCACAGTGCTGAAGTGAAAACTGCAAAGTAGAAAAGTGTATGGATTAGCCTTCAGGTACCTGATCCACTGATTGATTGAATGTTCTACTATTAGGAAAAACCAGAAATATTCCATGCTGTGATACCTAAAAGCTGAGACAATGTCCATTTATGCTTCCCCTCAAGAAATATAATCCCTCAAGACTTCATTGTTTATTGATGAACAATGCAGTCAAAAGCAGAAATAATGATCTCTGAGTTTGCACCTAGATGTGTAAGTCATTTGGGCAGGTTAAGAAATGCCTGAGGTAAACAGCTGTAAAAACCCCAGTGACAGAAAAAATCAGAAGATAAAGTTCTCCCAGTCAAGAGACTAGTTAAGAAATGTTCATACACATGCATGAATCTTGATGATTAACAATTACATTGATAAATCTGTAGAAAATTAACCAGTTATTTTGACTGGATCCCAGTTTACATTCTGTTTAAGCAGACTCTAGTTCTCTGGATTTTATAGAATAAGACTGCCTGCCACAATTCTTTTATTGCTGAATGAAATCCAGCAGTTCAGTTTATATGTAAGACAGGCATGAATCGTTATCACACAAAAATATCTATGCTCATCCCTCAGCAAAGTGTCTTCTGTCACCATTAACAAGCTCAGGTCCTGTCCACTTAAAACTAAGCAACAAACTACTGAAAGAGCTACTGAATTCCTCTTAACATGGTCTTTTCTTTTCAAAATTGTGCTTTCAGTCCCTGTAACTGCCTGTGCATTCTGAACCATCTCTTAAGGAGGCAGTTCCTTGCAATAGAACATTAATTCTCTCTGAAATTATTATGAGATATTTTGGTAAAGAAATGCTGTAAATTATGTTGTAGCTCCTTTCATTGATGTAAATTGTTAGTGAGTGTTTGAATATCCTCTGTTAATATCACGATGATGATGGTTTTTCCTTTGATTAATTTAAAGACATCTGACATTTTTGGTTTTTTTAAGTTAAAGAGCCCGAAGTGTTAGGTAGGTTTTTCCTCTGATATTGCTTTGCCTTTTAAATGACTTTTTGCAATGAGTTATTGTCCCGAGTGTCAGAGAGAGAAGACTTTTTGCCTCATTAAAACAAGGCACCCTGTGCAGTTAGGATGAGGTAGTCAGACTAGTTTCTCTATTCCTTGGGGTATTTGGCTTATTATAGACATTTATGTCAACCCTTATGTTTCCTAACTAATGCAAAGTCTGTGATTTTCTTCCTAGTGTGAAGACACCTTACTACACCTCTGGTGTCCTCATTGAGAGCAATGAAATTTACAGCAAGATTTATGCCAAATTAGGCTTGATTCTGATGTGGAACCAGCAGGATGCCCTGATGGTATGTATGATCAAAGTATTTTTAATTGGTATTTCCTGGGTTTCCTGGGATATTTCTCCATCTCAGCAGGGAAAAAAAAAAAAAAAAAAAAAAAAAAAAAAAAAAAAAAAAGGAGGGGAAAAAGGAAGGGAAAAAAAAAGATAATTCTTTTATGTTTTTCCTTTGTCTTTTCATTATTTAGGTGGAGCTGGACAACAAATTTAATAACCATACCTGTGGTCTCTGTGGGGATTACAATGGCATTCAAATCTACAATGAGTTCATCAAGGGAGGTGCGTCATCCCACCATACTGACCGTTGTCCGTGGAGATAGGCTGACAGGCCCTGTGCATCATTCTACATCACATGAGTGCAAATTTTACTTGAGAGGTTTCTGTGATTGCTCCAGACTCAGCATTAAGTTCCAGTGTTGCATTCTTGGAATTCCTACATTCTAAGTTTATTCTGTTCTAGATTAATATTTTTGCTCTTTAGTAGCCTTCTTTTCCCGTTTCCTCTTTACATTTTAAAGCACAGTTAGACATCATTCAGAGCAAGTTCCTGTGTCTAACAGGCATATTTGTTACTATAGTAACTGCTTCCCTTGATCAGGAGAGTTCTAGGAATCAAGTGTTCCCTGTCAATTTCTGGGGCTCAGCAAGTTCTCTTTCTATTTTTTTCTCATAGATGCAAGCTACAACTCAATTACATATGGGAATATGCAGAAGATCAGCAAACCCAATGCCAAATGTGAAGATCCAGATGAAACGCAGGCTCTTCCAAGCTGTAATGAGCATGTAAGTATTTCTTGTTGTGAACTTCTTTGACATGGGCACATGGAGACATCCTTGTGCACCAGGGAGTTAGTTGTGAGGAGCTGGGAGGACTGTCCCTTCCAGGATACATGGTTACTTTTTCCTAGCTGTTCAAAAGACAACAGTTTTTGGGGTTTTTTTGGCAAAATAAGAAATGTCCAGAAGCTCAGATACCTGTAAATCCCTTAAACATTATTCCTCTTCCTCCTCAGCGTGACGAGTGTCAGAGGTTGCTGACTTCCCCTGCGTTTGCTGATTGTCGGCTGCGTCTTAATTTGGAAATGTACATCCAAGCCTGCATGCAGGACAAATGTGCCTGTAATGGGAAGGATGACACCTTCTGCCTCTGCAGCACCATCTCCGAGTATTCCCGCCAGTGCTCTCACGCAGGCGGCCGCCCAGGAGAATGGAGGACACAGAACTTTTGCCGTAAGCAGCTACACAAATTTTACAAAGATCCAAATGTTTCATGCGTGTAGCGCCATGAAATTTAAATTCATTACTTCTTTACAAAGCTGTTGGGATGTATTATAAATTTCATATCAGTAGTGCTAAAAATTATGATCTTCCTGTTTTCTTTTTTCTATTACTTTTACTATTAAGAAATATTTTTCAGCAAATTCTGTTCCCATTAAAAAACCTGAGATTTGATGCTGCAGGATATGGGGATAACTTGAGCTATTTGAAACCAAAAGAAGTAAATATAAAAACCAGGGAAAGGAGTTCAGATTTAGATAAACATGCTTTACATGTGCAGTCTGGCTTGAGACACCACTGACTTGAAGGGAGTAGGGTGTATGATCTGTGGTTTCTCAGGAATGATGGATGTAACACTCAAGTAACTCCTGGTGTCTTTCTTATTCTTTCAGCCAAGACCTGTCCTGCTACCATGGTCTATAGAGAAAGCAGCTCACCCTGCATGGATACGTGCTCACACTTGCAGATCAGCAGCCTTTGTGAGGAGCATTACATGGATGGCTGTTTCTGCCCTGAAGGCAAGTGTTATTCTAGATGTTGCATCTGGGACAACAGCAAGATTCCTGGCTAAGGAAGTCATACAAAAGTGCTACATTTAGTCAAATTACACCTTAGAAAAGAGTAGTGCTACTTATCATTTTCCCCCTAGAGGAAAATAACTGTAAAATTTTATAAGGAGGTAATAATTGATTAACTAATAAATTATTTTATAGTTCAAACATATTAACACAGTGACTGGTAATAGGCCTGCTTTTTAATTCTCAACAAGTGAGTTTTTGATACTATATAGTAAATCATGATTTTTAGGTTGAATAGGTCTGAGACAATGGACATCTTTCGCCCAGAGTGGCAGTGAGGGACAGTGAGTGAAATTCTCAGGTGAAATTCTCAACCTTAGGAAAGAAGATTATAGTGATAGTCTCATCACTAAGATTGTTCTTATATGCTTGCAATAACTTTTTTCTCTGTGTAGTTATATAAATTATCAGACTTGGATTTTCAAAGCTGAATAAAAGTGCTTTCCATCTGTCATATATTACAAAAAATAGAGCCAGTATTCTTCAAGTTTAGATAATCTCAGTCTGTGTGGTAAATTAGAGTTTTTCCTCTGTGCAAATTGCTTATTTGAAAGAGCTGAAATAGTTAATGTTGTGTTTTATAGGAACTGTGTATGATGATATCAGTGAAAAAGGCTGCATCCCTGTTAGCCAGTGCCACTGCAAACACGGTGGAAAGGCGTATGCACCAGGAGAAAGCATTTCCAAAGAATGTGAAGAATGGTAAGGATCCTGGTTGTTGTGCACTTTTCTTTGAATAATTGTAAATGGGCCTGCATTTTTCAAATTTCTACTTGGTTATAGGAGATGTTCTGAAAACTCTCTGAATTTAATGTTTATGTTGCATGTCTACAGAACAAAATTTCTGGTAAGTTTCTATGGCATATGTCAGATTCTGTGGCATATGTCAGAGGGAAAATCTCAAGGAAATGGTTAAGGATACAGTTTTAAAACACCTGGGGATAACTTGATGGTTGCCAGATATACAGATACTTTCAGTGCTCTCAGCTCCTGTAATAACTACAAGCATTTTTTGTATTATTTGTCTGTTTATAGCACCTGTAATTCAGGCAGATGGACCTGCAAAGATTTACCCTGTCCAGGCACATGCTCAGTGCAAGGAGGTTCCCATTTTACCACCTTTGATGGGAAGAAATACACCTTCCATGGTGACTGCTACTATGTGTTGGCCAAGGTACTGTGTACAGTGGGACTGTTCTCTGTGGGCTGATGTGTGTCATCTGGGAGTTATCGTTCTATTCCACTTCCATAGAGGAGGGAAGCCGAAATGCTGGAAGTTGTACTTTCAGGAAAATTCAGTATTTAGCTGTAAAAACCCTAAGGGGAAGCTGGGGACTTATTGCAATGGGTGATTAACTCAGTGAGATAGAATATTGCCAATGCTGTCATTATCCAGTGGAGTCCTTTGCATATAAGAAATCAAAGAGTCTCAGGATTAGAAGTTCTTGGCCACTTCTGTAATAGCTATTTCTAAGTCTGAGGGTCAAAGTAAGGTACAGAAAAGAGGTAGGCAGTTGTTTCATTCATTGCTAAAATATCTGGAGTCTGTTCTAGAGAATGAGGAAAATCTTGTTGAGCTAGGAAAGTTACTGTAACCGATGAATTTAGTCTTTGCTGTGGAAATCATCTCATGAGAGTTTTAATATAACTAATGGGCATTTCTTTCCTTGTGATTTTAGGGTACTGCAAATGAGAGTTATGCTCTCCTGGCAGAGCTGGCTCCCTGTGGCTCCACAGACAAGCAGACCTGCTTGAAGACTGTTGTGCTGTTAGTGGATAACAAAAAGAATGTAAGCGCTGTTCTGTGGATTCTGCTAGATATGTTGAAAATTAACGTATTTCCCTTAATGTGGGTGAATATTTTTTCTTCTGGAATTATTATTGTGGATAAATAAGGAACCTCAGATAGGCTGACAAACAGCTCAGGTTTCTGCCTCAAGAATTCAAAATAAACCTAAACTTAAGAAGGTATGAGATTCAAAACAACTGACATTTCCCCCTCTTCTTTCCTCTGCTCTGTGCAATATGATGTTTCTCACAGGATTCCAGAATGTCTGGAAGGAAGGGTACCTATTCTTCTCCACCTCACAGTTTCTTTCTTCATTCTGATATAATTTTATAGTTCTACTTGAGTTTTTTTCAGAAGAAATCCTGTCTTTGAATGGTGATACAATCCAACCTTCTCAAATATTCACTTTAGTATTCTCTTTGTTTATGAGAATATATAGACTATCTCCATACATAATTTACATACATATATATATATGATTTCCCTCACATATTTATGGACTTCCATGTCCTTGCCAATATTACTAAAACGTAAGAAAACCAAATCAAAACCCACTAGTTTTATGTTTCTGTATGTAGAATAGCATTTTTTGAGGAAGTTAAATAAACTGCTTTCTTACTATGTCAGAATCTTATCAACCATCACACAGAAGCTGTAACATATGCTTTAATAAGGAATAAGAACTTCCTACAGTTCCTGAAGACCTAATACTTTCTTCTACTTGTGGAAACCAGAATGCCCAATATAAATGAGTTTTGCATTTCATTACTGCGATGAATTCTTGCAGGCAGATGTAAGAGAAACACTGAATAGCAAGACAAAACCTTAGGCGTAACCTATAGAGCTGGTGCTGTGTTCAATTTTCAGACAGATTTTTCCTTTCAAAAATTTGGAGTTCTAGACAGAGTCTAAATGTGTAAAATGCCCTTGCTGTAAATCTTCTTTGTGTTGGTTTGTTTTCCTCAGTCCCTGGGACCTCACTGATTCCATTTGCCGTTACACAGGTGGTGGTTTTCAGATCAGATGGCAGCGTGCTCCTGAATGAGATGACAGTGAATGTGCCTCATGTGTCAAGTAAGGGACACTGCCTTGTATGTCAAGTGTCACACACCTGACTTCTCATGTAGGGGTGTATTTTTATAGAGGGAAAAGTGGAAGAGAGGTATTTAACACTTTCCAAACATGGCTACAAGGTGTTGGCATGCCCATTTGGTTCTGATCCCAGAGACCCTTCTTTATAAGTAATCAGCTTGTTAAGTTTGTAAGCACCAGCATCATATCTAATTGGCCAGTGATTTTTAAAGAAAAAAGATACTAATTTGATCCCGGTCTCAGAGATTTCATGCTGGGTGATACATGAGAATCTAATATGAAATGTTTCTTTTGGCAGCCTGCATGTATTGGTTTATTACAACAGTTCATATTTTGTTTTTCAGGCAGCTTCTCAGTATTCAAGCCATCTTCCAACTACTTTATTGTACAAACTCCTTTTGGGCTTCAGATGCAGATCCAACTGTTTCGAGTCATGCAGCTGTTTGTGACTGTGGATCAATCAGTTAAAGGAAAACTTCAAGGCAAGTGTCTATGCAAATGTGAAGCAAAGTCATGTTGTTTCACAGCTGAATAGTCATGTATTCTTTATATGAGTGGCAACTCATACTACTTGTTGGTTCAAGGAGAGAAAATGGAAAGAAAATTGACTCAAGCAAACTAGAAATGTGTTTTTATTTTTTGATATTAAAATGACCTATCACTCTGTTGCCAGTACATAGGTGTTTCTTAGAATATTCCTAACTTTTGTATTTAGTTTAATTTTAAACTATCCACAAAGCCAGTTTATGGTGCATTTTGTGGCTTCAATATCATCAGAAAGCATAAAAAATATGGGTTAGAGTAGTAATCTCTTGAAGCACAGATATCTTTGTGAAAACTATTCTTGAAGATGTTGAAGATTTAAACCAGGACTTCTAAAACTTCAGTATTTATAGTATGCATTAAATTGATGTGGAATAGTCAGCTGTTTCTAGTGTTTGTGATCAGTTGTCCCTTTCCTTTGTCCTTTCCATATGAGAATAAGTAATGCTTATGTGAGATTTTTGCCTTGTTCTCAAATAGGTCTTTGTGGAAACTTCAATGGAATGGAAGGTGATGACTTCAGAACAACCAGCGGGCTGATTGAGGCTACAGGGTCTGCCTTTGCTAACACATGGAAAGCTCAGTCCACTTGCACAGACCAGGTAGAAAAGCTGGAAGACCCCTGCAGTCTCAGCATTGAAAGTGGTAAGCACATTAATGAGTCAGATGGTTGGCTTCTGCCAGGATGAGCAGTGTCTGCTGTGTGTTACTGCAACAGGCGTGTAAGAGTTGTAGTGGGGCACTGAAGATTTTTACAAGACTGTAAAATTAATAATTAATATCTGCAAGTATGTATAGATACAAGCACTTCATCAAACTGAAGTGAAAATTTAAGGGGTGATTGTAAAAGAATCCTAAGGTAGAAGAACGGGAAAACAGTCACTAATTTGTATTATCTGCAAAGACAGCTTGTATCTCCTATCATTATCTATCCTTATGTTTAACTCAGCTTTATGGTCCCCAAATGGAAAGAGCTGTCATAATTCCATGTGTACAAATTGCAAAAGTTTGATTGCAGTTTTTGATTTTATGATGGCATGTCTCTGAATCAAGGATTAGAAATACATGTGTGGTGATTGCATGTAGTTTCTCCACTCCCCAAAATGCACACAGTTCTCTCCTTTGTATTTCTGCACTGGATTTATGTGACAGCACAACTAGGCATGGCACAAGGAAGATAAGGAAATGTTATGAATTTCTCTTTTTTTTTCAGCAAATTATGCTGAGCATTGGTGTTCTCTGCTGAAAAACCCAGAGGGTCCTTTTGCAAGATGTCACTCAGCCGTTGATCCTTCAGAATACTATAAGGTATTGTAATTTTTCATTCTTTTAGTACTGCATTATTTCAGATGGTTAACTGTAGACATTTATCATTGTTTGAACATTTGAGACATCAGTAACTTGTCCATAAGAGATGCTGAAGTTTTTGCATTGACTGGTTCAAACAACATAGCATCCAAAGTATCTCATATGATGAGATCCTTATGTACATTTATTTTGCCTTTTTACTTTTTTGACACATTTATTGGCTTGGTTATTTGGAATGAAAAGAAGACTCAAGAGTTGCAGATGTACATAGTTTAAGTTTAGTTTCTATAAAGTGGGAAGAAAAATTCCAACCATATATTGGTTGGAATGTAGCGCCAAATCATTTTCATGCCAGAATGTCCATGAATTCTTTTTCCCCATGCTCATCTCTGTTGAGCAATAATGGAAGATCACCTGAGGAAAAGGAATTCTAAAATCATTGCTTATGCTTAGAAGTCAGTATGAGCTCAAAAGTCGTAAAGGTCTTTGTAGACCTGGTTAATATTTTGCCTTTATTATTCTAGTTTTTGTGGATCTCTGAATTTCTAATTAGTAATTGGGGAAAAATTGTATCAATATCCTTTGAAAAATATGTTCTTAGGAGGCTGACTACTTTTTAAAGGTTCAAGAGGCTTGCCTTAGGTTAGAATAAGCATCCAAATATTTTCATTTTGTATGAAATGAAGCAGCACTTTAACTCCCTGGTCTTTGTCCGTTCCTTTCATTGTTCTCTGGTCATAGGAATTAATACAAAGAACATCAGGAAAAGCAGACAGAACATTTTGCAGCAATCAAGTTGCAATTTCCCATTGATCTCCTGTGGACTTATTAACTCTTTTGTTCTTTTTTTTCAGAAATGTAAATATGACACCTGCCTCTGTGAAGACAACGAAGAATGTTTGTGTGCTGTCCTGTCCTCTTACTCAAGAGCCTGTGCTTTCAAAGGGGTCATACTGGGAGGCTGGAGAAAGAGTGTCTGCAGTAAGTAGTGGAACAGTAATCCCTGTGGAAATAATTAACCATGAGAAATAAGCAGGCCCTCTCTGAATTTGGTTGTCAGTGATCTATCTCACTGTTAAGGGATTTAGAAATGTCTAAGGGACCAAAAAGAGACAATGCTGGTAATGTTTACTAATTCATGTTATTTTCTTCATATTGAATTTTTTATACCTAAAAGTAGAAAGCAATATTTTAAACTTTTGTCTTCTTTCCCCAGTCTAGCTAATATAATTCCATTTACTAATGGAATCCCAGCCATCAGGGCTTTTACTGAGCATTTGCTTATCAGTGTCTTTGTTTCTGATCCTCCTTGCTTTATAGCAAGAGTTCAGTGTATTTGAGACTAGCAGTTTATTATATTGTGCTCTCTATTTGATTATCAGTATGTGAAACAAATAGGGCTATGAAAGTAGAAACTATTAGTAGCAGTTAAAAGTAAGTCTTCAACTGGTAAAGTTAGGTTAGTGTTACTTGTGACTTCTGATATTTTTGTGCTTTAGTAAGATCTAAGGGAATGTTTTTATCACTACATTCGGCAGAGCCAAAGAAACCAAAATGGAGATGTCAAGGCCAAATTACCCATCCTGCATCTTTTACTTATCAGTTTGGTTTTTTCCCCTCCAGGCAGTGAAGCATCTTCTTGCCCAGGAAATCAAGTCTTCCTTTACAACCTTACAATGTGCCAGCAAACCTGTCGCTCCCTTGCTGATGGTGAAAAGTATTGCTTGCAAGACTTTGCTCCTGTGGACGGCTGTGGTTGCCCACCCAATACATACTTGGATAACCAGGATAACTGTGTGCCCATCTCCCAGTGCCCATGTTATTACAAGGGATCATACCTGGAATCTGGGGAATATTTCACAAAAGATGGAGAACGCTGGTATGTTTTATTTTGGCTTCTTGTTTGTGGGGAAAAAGCCCTTTAAAGATTGATTGTTAGGTGTAAGGTGCTTAGGTTTTTTGGTACTTTAATGAGTGTTTGTAATGCATTTCACGACATCTTCATGCTGAGTAAAGCATTATTCTATTGCAATGCAATTTATTCATAATTGAGAAGTGCAGCTTGCTTTGGAGGTGTGAGTATTTGCCTTCACAGACAAATGTTATTCTGAAGCTGCAGTGTTAATAACGCTTTGTTAAGCAGAATGATGAAAGGAAGATAAAAGGCCAGCTATGTGTTATGTTTGCTTTTCTAGCAGACATGGTTTGCTTGTGTTTTCCACTGGAGGAAGGTCCCCTTGATATATATTCATTGTAACATAGACTTTTGAAAACAACATTCATGATTCTGTTATATTTTCCCATGATCTCTGGCAACAGTTTGCTGTCTGAGTCGTCAGTGCAAACTGTGAAATGCCTTCTCTCATTCAGCAGAAGAATCACATAGGTCAACAAATTTGCAGCATATAAATTCAATAGTCATGAAAATACATTGTGTATATAAATGGAGACTTTGATTTAAATTACCAGTATTATCTGTGTCATTACTATCTAATTCCCGAGTTGTCATAAAACATAGTATTAAAGATTATAATAGAATAGCTGTCATTCCTTAAAACATAACCTTTCTGTGCATTATGCCTAAAATCTTGCTACACTTTTTCTCCAACAAAAAAAATCATGCGTGTGATTCAATAGAATTGGCCTTGAAATTTCAGTAGAAATTATGCGGGCTATATTTAATAAATACTCTCAAATGTATATAAACAAGTCCTTAGACTTAAATTGAAGATATTGAGCTTGCTTTTTTTTTTTTTTTAAATTTCTACTTACTTCACTTTTCTAGTGTTTGCCGAAATGCAAAGATCCAGTGCACTTCAGTGAAAATAAGAATGAAAAGTAAGTGACATTCTATAAACTAAACAAGAATAAAATCCATAGTCAACCTCCCAACCCAAACCTACATCTCTTTTGAATTCTCCGTTTAGTTGTTTTGTGTGGTTTTTTTCTTTTTATGTAAAACAGGAACACATTTTCACTTTATTCTCTCTTCACTGAGCCCATTTTTTTCATAAGGAGAGACTGAGATTTCTGTCTGAGAAACTACCACCTTTCACTAACATTTCTTTTGCCTTGATTGATCTAAACCAACAATGTGCCTTTCAGGTGAAAAAGAATGTTCTTCTAGCAAGACATACTTTGACTGCAATGCATCCTCAAAGTGGACTTCGCAAACACCTCTACAGCTTAGCTGTCATACTCCTCAAACTGATCATGTATGTATTCAGCTTTTCTTTGTGCCTTGCTTTCTTTTTTCTGTATTCTTTACATGACATGGTGCTACATAACAAATACAGTTGTAACTAGCAGTTTATTTATCTTTGGTTTAATCTACCCTTTTTCCCCCTACCATGATATTAATCTGTTGCCATTTTCACAATGGTTTCCTTCTCCTCTTTACTGGCTTCAGTAGAGTCATAATTTCTAAGCAAAAAAGAATCTGAGTTCTTAGAAAATCAAAAAAGAAAAGACAAACATTAGAAACCTAGAAAAAAAGAACCTTATAAAACTAATCAATATTAGACTGTATGATTTTAAATGCAGTTTTTAAAGAGTGAAGAAGTGAAATTAAGATGCAGTGCTTTGACATAAGTTAACCATTTCTCCTTATATTCCTTAGTTCCAGACAGAGTGTGTCTCAGGCTGTGTGTGCCCTGAAGGTCTATTTGATGATGGCAGAGGGGGCTGTGTTGAACAAAAAGATTGCCCATGCATTCACAACAATGAGTGGTATTCTTCTGGAGACAAGATAAAAGTGGACTGCAACACCTGGTGGGTTATAAGTGAATACTCTCTTCTAGAATATATTCTATGCAGTATATTCATAGTCATATCTAGGCATATGTGCTACAGTAGCTGCAAAAGCTGGAATTATCATCCTTAATTTTTAGGAACACTTATTGCTATCTCAGAAAATACAGATTCTGCTGGCAGTATGGGGGTGGTAGTTACCTCTGCTTTCAGTAGGCATCTCTTGTTGGGAAAACTCACTCATTTTTTAAAAATAAATGCTATCATATCTAAAGATGGTAGCTCAACAGAGTAAAAATCATGTTATAAGCTTAAAAACAGGCTTAAAAATTGAAGTTGAGGTTTGGATATTTTGTTCAGTATCACATTATATCAGACAGTTACTTGTTTTGTTCTGCAGTTTTTAAAACCAAAATCTCTTCATGAAATCTGAAAATCCAACTTCTCTGCTCTCTTCCAGCACCTGCCAGAAAGGGGTTTGGAAATGCACTGATGACATGTGCTATGGGACTTGCATGATATATGGAAGTGGCCATTATAACACTTTCGATGGGAAATTCTATGACTTTGATGGGAGCTGTGAATATGTGGCTACTCAGGTAATGTTCATGAGGAGGGCTGAAAAGGAATTTGATTGCCTCAAAAATCTACTTTCCTCTTTGGTTTTATCATTCCTTATTGCCTGTCATCATTGTTCCCAAGGGGTTCACACATTCTGCCAGGATAAATTGTGTATTTTCAGTGCAGGCAAACTGTGTGAATGTGTTTTTTTGGTTTTTTTTTTCAGATATAGATGTCATAAATGACATGTAACAGTGAGAGCTAATTATAATTTGTGAAATAAATCCAAATTCTAAGCTTAGAAACTTGAAAATTTTGTTTAAATATATATTCCTCACTTTGTTTTATTGTCCCACTCTTTTTCCAAGGCTGAGACTGTGTAAACTGTTTATATGTATGCATGGAAGTATGCATATATGGCTATGCATCTGTAAAAAGATGTGTGTGTAGGATCTCAAATTTGAAGGAGCAGTAACTATTTATACATTGTGAAGATTTAAATGACTGCAATTCCTATGAGATTGAACTACAATGAAATACTCTACCTAATTTTCTCATGTTCTTGTTTTTTCTTTTTCGATAGGACTTCTGCGGTGACAAAAATTCCAGCGGCTCATTCAGTATCATCACAGAGAACGTCCCTTGTGGAACTACAGGAGTTACCTGCTCAAAGGCTATCAAAATGTTCCTAGGGGTGAGTGATGACAGTCAGTACATACCAGTAATCAAGCATTACCAAAAGTGTAATGCTCTAAAGTCATGCCCCTAAAAGCAGCTGTAACAAGCATTAGAGGCCCTACCAAATTATTCTGTAAAAGTGTAGGTTCTCAAGTGATGAAAACTCTCTCAAACAGAAGTGCCACACTCTCTGCCATCTTGGGAGTCATCCCAGAGTTTGAGCTACTGGTTTCAGAATGAGTTTCATTGTTACAAGTGCTTAATATTTTGTCTTATCATAGAAGTTAGTGTTAAAATAGTTCTCTTTTATCTTTTAGAAAACTGAACTGAAATTGGAGAACAAAGAGTACAAAGAAATTCAGCGAGATGTTGGTGATGATGTGCAGTATTGGAACAGGACAGTTGGCCTGTACCTGGTTATTGAGGCTAGCAATGGTGTGACGCTGATCTGGGACAAAAAGACTACTGTTTTCATCAAGCTGAGCCCTGATTACAAGGTTAGTGCCTGTCTGTCTTCTTCTGAAGTTGTATTGTGAATAGACAAGAAAATAAATGTTCTTTTATTCTGACTCCATGTCTAATTCCTATATCCTCTGTGCACTCATGGTTAGCTTGCATTATTACTGTCATAGCTTGCAGAAGTGCTTCTGGGGTTTCTTACAATATATCACAAGGCATTGCACAGGATGCATAGGATGCTATTCCAATAGAGACAAACATCTCAGGCAATACTCTTGAGTTTGTGAGTATTGATAGCCAATCATCCAGAATAATTTAGGGGATGTGTACTGACTGCATATGTGCTTAGAAACTTACATGTAATCTCAGCCCTGTTAAAACCAAACTCCCCATGCAATGTATGGCCATGGTTCTGTTTCCTGAAATTCAGCATGCTGAATTGGAGAATATTGAGGCATTGTAGAAACAGTGACACACTGTTACTTGAGGGGATTGGTGGACCTTAAATAATGCTACCCAAAATTCACCATTGAGGGCAGATTGATACATTTTCTTCCAAGAAAAATGGGTCCCTGTAATTTCTTTTCCACTAATTAAGAAATTGTGATAATTATGCTAAAAACTTTTAATAAAAACTGCTTTGAGCAGAAATTAATTACCTCAGGCTTGTGTTAATGCATGATTTAAGATAAATTGAGAATGGAGAATAAATAATTCTTCTCAGCTGTAAGAGGCTTGGGAACCCTTTAATGTTTTAAGTTGGATATGGAGACAGAAATATGGAAATACAGTCGATAGAAATGATTTCAAGGAGGGAAAACATGGCAGCTGAATAATTTGCTGAGGAGAGACAAATAAAAATTTAGTTTTTGAACAAATTATTTGACAGTAAAGAAGAAAGTCATCATTTACACAGACAGTAATTTGTCGTTTTTCATGTCAATGTTTTGCTCTTACTTTACCAGAGACTGTTTCTCATTTCCATGGTATATTTAAAAACTCAATTTTCTTTTCCAGGGCAAAGTGTGTGGTCTGTGTGGCAACTTTGATGACAAGGCAAACAATGACTTTACAACAAGGAGTGGACTGCTGGACAGTAATCCTCTGAATTTTGGAAATTCCTGGAAACAATCTCCCATGTGCCCAGATGTCACAGAAGAGATTAAGCCCTGTGATCTGAAACCACACCGGAAGTCCTGGGCAGAGAAAGAATGCAGTATCATCCAGAGCGAAGTCTTCAAAATTTGTCATTCCAAGGTTTGTAGAAGACAATACGTGATGAGACAGCACAGTGCATTTCTGATAATGCAGAACCAAAAAGACCATCAGAAATGAATGAAGCAATGGTTAAATAGATTGATATCTTCAATTAAGTCTTGAGTACAGCTACAGGTGTCAGAACATTTCATGTGGCCTTAGTCAAAGTAGTCTGAGTCTCTATGGGACTGTGTCAGTGGTGGTGATGGCAGCCCCAGCTGTACAAACCCATATTCATCACCACAGTTTCACTGCTACTACTCTGCAAGTTAGCTTCAGAAATGTATCCTGAACAGGTCTGTGTTTGCTGCAGTTGCTCCATCTCTTGTTGAGAGACCGTCAGTATTACAAGTACTGAAGGACCTTACAATCATCAGATCCACCTCTTGATGGTAATTCATACTAAACATGAAAGGTGTCTGTTGAAGAGGCTACTACTTCTTGTACTATTCAATCCACAAAAGGATCTTTTTAGACACCACTGACATCATATAGTTTAGACAGACAGCTGTTGGTACTGTGCAGACAAATTGTCACAGCAAACACTGTGACAGCCCACAGCTTCCAGAGTACAGTGCACAGAGAGCACTCCTCTTTATTTCTCATCTCTTTCCTGATGTATGGTAATATTAACAACAGTTAATTACCATTGCAACAGTTTGTTCTTAACTCACAGTGGAAGAGTCACAAACAATTATTAATTTAATGAATTTGTTATATGTTTCCATGTGGCTTACTTCAGCAGCAAAAATCCAGTCTAAGTTTCTCCTCTTGCAGTCTCAAATTAAAAAAAAAAAAAAAGAAAAGCTTTTTTTAATGTGTCATTGGGTAAACTCTAAAAACTGATAGGCACAAAATTACATGCTTAATATTTGCTGCGAATGAAGCCTTTCTGGCATTGTTCACCATTTGGTTGGCAAAGCTTGCTGGAAGATTAGACTTCACTGGCATCAATTCAACTTGGTTTTGGGAGCACTAAAATGGAACTCTATTAGAAAATGCGAGCACTGCCAAGGACTCTTACTTAGTTTTTTCAGTCATACAACTTATGAAGGAGCTATATTGTTTTAAGTCTATTATTCCCCAAAACATATTGAGCAGCTTCAAGCCTGTGTTTGTGATTTGGTAACCTTTAGACACAGTCTCATTCCTTTCTAGCTCAATTCCCATATATCAAGAGTTCTCAAACATATTAATTTGAAAACTAATTTGGAGATGAACTGGGGCATCATTTCTTCCCCTGACAGGTAGACCCACTTCCTTACTATGAGGCTTGTGTTCATGATGCCTGCTCCTGTGACACTGGTGGGGACTGCGAGTGTTTCTGCTCTGCGGTTGCAGCGTATGCCCAAGAGTGCATCAAGGCTGAGGCCTGTGTTTTCTGGAGAACTCCTGATATCTGCCGTGAGTAACAGAGAAACAAAACTGTTTCTTTCTAGCTGATGTCAGAAAGCCAGTCAAATAAATCTTTAGTACTGTCATTGCAAGGTCATGCTGGCTGCTAGGTGAAACCTTTACTCAGCATATCAGAGAACTAACAGGCTAGTAAATTTGTATATTTCAGCTGTTTTTTGTTCAGCCTGTCCTCTTCTCTTCTCTTCTCTTCTCTTCTCTTCTCTTCTCTTCTCTTCTCTTCTCTTCTCTTCTCTTCTCTTCTCTTCTCTTCTCTTCTCTTCTCTTCTCTTCTCTTCTCTTCTCTTCTCTTCTCTTCTCTTCTCTTCTCTTCTCTTCTCTTCTCTTCTCTTCTCATTACTCAGAATCTGATTTTAGCAAAAAGTATATATCACTCCCATGTTTTAGCATGGAACCTAATCAGTGCTATGTATATTAAGCAGTGTCCATTAGTGGTGATATACCAGTACATCATAAATTAATGTAAAATAGTATTTAAAGTAATATTACCCCAAAAGCACTCAAATTAAAATTTTGAGATTCTAAGTAGTGGAAATATATAATTTTTTTTTACTTAAAAAAATCATTCAGATTCAGAATTTGGACTAATTGGAGCTTTTAAATGTAAGAAGTCAGTGAAACAAAAATTATATGTTTAATTTAGCTCTGATTATAAGTTAATAAAAGCTCCTTCCTCTGTCTCTGGTCATCTAAGCTGAATTTAAGTTGTATTCATAATGGCTCATATGCTTCCTCTTGGACTTTCAGCCTGTGTGATACAGCAAGATGGAACTATTTTATATAAAATTGAAAAATATTTTGGAGTTTGCTAGTAGCTATAGAAGAAAAATATTCTCAGAAATATACCTTTAACTTTAAACTAAAATAATTTTTTTAATAGTTTTTCTTTCTGATTTGAAGCATTTTTACCCAGTGCCCTGAATATTTAAAATTTCAGTCTTTGGCACCAATGTATTAATGTATCCTAAATTTAAGCAGAGTAGCAGAAAGTCCAGGTCTTGTACCTCAAGAGAAATTTGGCCACCTTAACTTGTAGATTGAAGAGCTTGTACCTTTAAAGGCCTGCTCAGAAGTACATTCTGGCAAGCTTGTTTTTAATCAGCTTCTCTCTTTTCTCATCAGCAATATTCTGTGACTACTACAACCCTCGTAATGAGTGTGACTGGCACTACGAGCCTTGTGGCAGTAATATCACAACCTGCAGGATGATCAATAATGTCAGCACCAACTTTACAATACCACTGCTGGAAGGTAACAAATTTCTTGCCACTTTATATTGTGTTTTGTATAACTTTGTTCATATATCTTTTAATAATTGTGGACTAATCAGACAACCTGATGAGATGTTCCTAAATCTGTTATGTTGAGTTTGTCTCCAGTTTCATTACATTACATAAATGTTTCCTATAATGTAATTTACTATTTATTAACAAGTGATAGTTACATTACTGTCAGCCACAAAACTAGTTCTCTGTTTGGATAATATCCTGAAACAGGCATTATTATTACATCATGGTTATTTTGAATCCCATGCAAAAGTATTTCAAAAGCAGGGAAATCTTTGATATGGCAAAGAAGCAGTTCTGAAGCAAGAAACTGATATTTGGATGTTTTTAACCTTAGCATTTTTTATGTACCAGATCATCTTGCCTTTACTAGATTAGTCGGCAACATTCACCTACCTTTACACTGGAAAATATCTTTTATAGCAGATACACTGATGCTGCTATATACTGGATTCGTGCTGGAGATTCTGTTTCCTTTGTAGATGAGATATGAGTAGCTGACAGTCCTTGTGGTTGATAATGGAACAGGAATTTCACATTAAAAGGACAGCAATGATCCAAGAATGTGAAAGTCTTTACAAGCATCTTCTGGTTTATCACATGATAAAGCTGGAGAAAGAAGCTGTGTTTTTAGCCATAGAGTCTTTTCGGTCTGTACTGAAAGTGCTTATCTCCAGTTTAGGGACTGGCAAGAAAAGCCTTGAGTATGACTTTGCTTTCAACTGCTAGTAAAAAAATTAAAACAAACAAACAAACAAACCAAACCAAACAAAAAAAACCAAAACAAAACCAAAAACAAACCACCAAAAAGCACTACTAAAAAAATCAACTAGAATCCCTTGCCAAAATATTCTTTAAAAACCCAACAAGCCTTTGTATTTTAGAATAAATTGTCTTATATTATTAGATAGATAAAATTTGGGAAGTGTCAGAAGGCAGATTATTATATATCCAATTCTCTTTCTTAATTATTTTTGTTGTTTAATTTCAATAGAAATATAGAGCAGATCTATTTTTGTTAGGACATCTTAAGTACAATTTGGCAGTGTAAAGTGACTTTTAAGTACAAGTTAATTACATGGTGCTTCAGTTTAAAGGCTATTTAGAACTCCAGTACAGTAAAAAGAGAACTTCATGTCATTAATAATTGGACTTAATAAGAATTTATTTAGAGGAAAGAGATACAATAATAATAACAACAGAATAATAATTTTAAGTGTATTTACATAAAAAATGGAATGAAAATTGACAGTCAATTAATCCCTTGCAGTGAAGTTTGGATCACTGCCTGAGGTAAGGAAAAACACAGATAAATTATCTGTGTGTAGATAATTACCTGTACACCAGGTAGAGATATTGGTGTATTCAAGACATATAAACAAAGTTTTATGTTGCAAGAAATGTAGTGAAAAACCTGTTTGTTAGTGAATCTGCTTCCATATCCCCACAAAACTATTATTGATATAGTGATCTGTACAAAAATTGGGGTGTTTCTTTGTCTTAAAATTACTACTTGCTTGTAGAAATGAGTATGAATTAATGGTTTCTCCAAGGTATTGAACTAACAAAAAGAAACTTCACTGATTTTCATAAAAAAACTTCTTACTTAATTCTCCTCACACCAGTATTATCAATGAGAACTGTTGAAGTCTTTTGGAAAGACTAATTGTCCACAGTTTGATTTGAATGGGAAGTTTTAAATTTCTTTCACTATGCATGATTCAGTGAGAATAATTTGCCTTCAGAAGGCAACATATCACTGAGTTGACTTTTTGTACTTTTTCTTCATCCTGTATTCTGTTCTACCTGTCATCAATAGGTTGCTACCCCAGATGCCCTAATGACAAGCCTATTTATAATGAAGAGACAAAGCAATGTGTGACTGAAGAACAATGTGGATGTTACCTTGAAGATGGAACCTATGTACCTCCTGGGCAAGAAGTACCCTCAAAAGAAAACTGTACAATATGGTATATAAAAATTACTTTCAGTAATTCACGAAATAATTAGGATATGCCGAGTCCTTCATTTACTTTACTGGGCTCAAACAAATAGAGATGCAACTTCAGCTGAAGAGCTGGTATATTCTTGCATTTCATAGTTTTCCAAACCCATAATAATCCAGATTTCAGGTTGGTAGTGTTATCATAATAAGTGCATTAGCAAATGCATTAATTATACCTGTCAACTGTCATGAATTATATAATGAAACCTTGATGAACTTCTAAAACAATCATTCAATTCTCATTACTGTTTGGGAAGAGAGGGGCTACTCTGCCTTGCATTCTCACTTAAAACTGGGATTTCAAAATCACTGTAGTCTAGAATACTCTTGCCCTGAAAGAGATAGTTGAGTCCTAATTGTTCATCTTAGAGTGTTAGCAATGACAGCACTTATACCTCTAGTTCCACGTGGTGACCAGACAATAACCTGATCTAGCTGTAAGTTCACTCTGCAAAACAGTTGTTATTGCAGTATTGCAACTCGCAATTGAACTGAAAGTGGTGACTTAGTTTGAAAGAAAAATGGTAGGCAACACAAGAAAATATACCCAGAAAAATATCCAGTAGTGTAAATGAAGTTTAAGTGACAAATATCTATGTTTCTGTGCTCTTGACTCTGCTAACAGGTGTCATAAAACATCAGCAACATTTTAATTTTTAAAAATTTTTCTTTTAGTGTCTGCGTCTCGTCAGGATACATAGAGTGTAAACCAGTCTCAGGTAAATAACATTTGGGTTTTTCTTGAAACAAAAAGAAAAGGAAATGCACAGAACTGCTCTGTCTGACTTTACAAAGGCTTAGTATTTATTTAGAATATGTCTTTCCAGTGCTAGTGAAAGTTGTGACTGAAGAAAATTTGGCAGTACTTTTGTTGAACCTTGCTGTTTGTACTTCCGGTTAAACCTTTTTCTTGAGCCCTTTCAGTCTTTCTTCCCATGTCCCATATCCAAACTAATGGATTTCACTGCGAGTTTGCACTTCCTGAACATGTAGTTATTAATATAAAAGTGTCAGATAGTAAATTGCAATTATTATTTCTCTTAGAACATTTTCAAAACTACTTTTTAAGTCTGTACCACCAGGCATTTTATTCAGGACTTGATTAAATATGTTTTAACATTGCTTTAAATGTAAAGATAAATTAGCACAATATAGTAGATCTAAGCTCCAGGTACAGGTCTGAAAAACACGCATGACTCATGTAAATGCTCTCTCGTCCATAAGAATTTTGCCTCTGCCTTTCATGTGGTAGTAGAAAAATTGCACAGTAAAGCTCTTCCTTGCAGGATGTCCTTGTGTCATCAATGGAACAAGTTATGAAGTGGATGCTACTGTGGGAGTAGTACAGGATGGAGACACATGTATAAGATACGTTTGTGCAGAAAATGGCTCTGTAGTTCCTACTGAAGTCTATCCTTGTCCAGCATCTTCACCTACAACCATTTCAACCTTCTCCCCTTCCACTACTCTTACCACCACCACCACCACCACCACAGGTAAGTCATTAATAGAAATGTGATCTAAAATTTTTTTTTAAGGAAAATATTTTAAATATAGAATATACAATTGTATGGGATTGCAGTTGACACAGATAAAGCAATATTTATGGATTTTTTTTATCACACCACACTAAGAAAGACTTTAAGCATTTTGAGTTGATTTATTTCTCATGAAAAAAAAAATGCATAGGGTGCCTTCATATTTTTGAAAAAAAAATTTAGCTTTTCAGTAATGGGATAGTAGAAATAATGTTAGGAGTGTCAGCAAGAAAAAAACAAAAAACTATTATATTTCTTTTGAAATGATCTCTTTTTGTTCTATTTCAGCTTCCACTACAAGCCGTCCAGTAACTACAAGTAAGTTATAAATACAAAACAAGGTTGTTAAAAATATCAAAGGAATATTTAAAGGAAGAATAAATTAAAGACAATCAATACAGAAACAAATAAATTTTAAATAAAAATGAATAATTTTTTTAGAATTTCAAAAGTGCCATTAGTATAGAGAGAAGAAGGACCTTTAATGCTTCAGTTTGGTAATTGTATTTTGATGCAAAACTTCCAGTTTAAAGACCTGGTAATACAGAACCAATTATAGAACTCTTTTCTTTGGAAGGATTACAAATTGCAATGCAGTCCTCTAGTCCTTAGTGGAAGAAAACAAAAAATGGATCTTCTCAGGATGTTCTCTGTAAACTCTGAAACCTCTGTCTTTTCTTGCAGCTCCATGCATAATCACAGAACTAATCTGTGATTGGACTGAGTGGTTTGATGTTAGTAAACCTGAAGAAGGTGGTGGTGACTATGAAACATATGATGAAATAAGAAAACACGGACACGAAATATGTACAGCTCCTGAAGAAATTGAATGCAGGGCTAAGGATAAACCTGATATGACCTTAGAACAACTTGGTCAGAAAGTAGAGTGTAATGTTAAATATGGGCTAATCTGTAAAAATGATGAGCAAGATATAACTATGTGGCCACTTTGCTATAATTATGAAATAAGAGTAAACTGTTGTGAGTGGCAACAAATTCCTTGTGAGCCTACAATTACACCTACTATACCACCAACTTCAACTTCAACCACCACCCAGACAACAATAACCAGCAGTACTACAACCAGGACTTCAACAGAAATTATCACCTTGCCCATACACAGCCATTCCACAACATGTGAGTATACACCATCAGTCCCCACTCCAGTAACTTCAGTATCTACATCTATTTAAGAGAAAAATACTCTGTGATCTTACTTTGCCTTTGGAGAAATAAAGGGCTATTGGCTACTAAAGTCAGGTCACAATCCTAGAAAACGTTGTCTGCAAGGAAGTTTGGAGGGTTTGGACTTTTAAGCTTCTGCTGGAGACAATATTTCCAGAAGGACCTGCTGTGTGGGAAGAGAGTAGGCCATGCTTCAAACTCCTGTTGCTAGAGGCATTATCTGGGTGGGGCTGCACCGGCTTCCTTCTTCAGGCTGACATGGTCTTGCTGATTTTGTGAGAAGCGCTTTCCTGCACCAATCTCTTCACTAGGAAAAGAGGGCCATGAACCTCTCTGTCAAAGATTCTGCTTTCTGGAGCCAGAAAAGGAGGGCTCATGCTAGGGACCTTTGCAGTGCTAAAGGGTGGGTTGAGCTCTCTAGGTCTGTGCCAGCTGCCTCATGCATAGCTTCTGTTAAGTTCCTACTAAGTTCCTACTCATGCATTTGTATCTTTGTTCTCTGTCCCTGCTGTTTCTAGCTCCACCCACACCAAGCACACCAAAATCAACAGCCACTACCTTGCCGACTGAGACTCCGACCAGCACCCCGACAACAACAACCACTGGACCACCAACACCCACCTCAACTACTTCAAGCACATCCTCACCAACACCAACATACACCACCACAACAACAATTCCAGGTACTTCTCTGGACTGTTCTCTGATGTGTTCCTTTGCTATGGGAGAAATAAAGGTGCCTTGGCCCCTCTTTAATGTGTCTCCATGGGATTGTAGATTGGAGGAATTACTGTTCATCCCCTGAAGTGCATTCTAGGAATATCTGGGAAGACTTTCTTCCCTTTCTCCTTCTCCTTTGGCATGTCAGTACAAGTGCATGACAATGGGTCTAGATCTTGGAAGCAAGGATTACACTGGGAGACTTTTGGAAACAGTAAAAAATGCCACTTCTTGTCAACTATAGCCTTTTGCTGATAACATCTGCTAGAACTCTGGGAAGCCCTTCATTAGTCTGACATTCTGCCAGAAGGAAATCTCCTGACAGGCGGGAATTTACGCCTTTTTACACTTCCATGTCTGACGATGAATTCACCACACAACTCTTACTGCAAGGATTTCTGAGGTGTTCAGGTAGTGAGGCAGAGATAGAAAGCCCCAGCGACATAAAAAAGCAATGCACCTCCTCATTTCTTACCTATTGGTAGGTCGCTCTGATTTGGTGAGAAGCACCTTTCAGCACCATCCTCAGTCTCCTAGCTAGGAAAGAAGTTCCATCACCTTTCTGTGCATGGATTTCAGGGATTCTTCTCTCAGGGGCCAGAAAAGAAGGGATAGTGCTGGGGACTTTTGTTGAAATAAGAGTGGGTTGATGCCTCTAGGTCTCGGCCAGCTACCCCATGCACAGCTTCTGTTGACTTCCTATAGATTCCCACTGATGCCTTTGTGCCTTTGTCTGTTTTCTCTGTCCCTGATGTTTCTAACAGTAACACCCAGTGCGCCATCTTCTACATCAGAAGTGACACCCACTTCCACGTCACCAGAGACTCTCAGCACCACCACCACCACCACCACAACCACCACCACCACCAGACCAACGACGACACCAACAACTGTTACACCAACCATCACAACTCCTATAAGTATGATTCAAAGCCAAGTAATTCCTGCCCAAAGCCCTGTGCCTCCAATTACAGTACCAACAAATAGTTCTCGGGCTCTGTTGTAATTTCTGGCCTTGCTGTGGGAGTAGTGAAGATTCATGAGCACCTCCATTTGTGGCTCTGGAAGGGATCAGGGACGGGTGTAATTTCTGGGCAACCTGTGGCCAAGTCTGGCCAGAAATTCTGGCTATTTCATAAGGAACAAGGATTTAGGGGTTCTTGGGGAAGGTCTTGTCTTCCCTGATTCAACAGTTCTCCAAGGAGGTATTTCATACTTGTGCCCAGTTGGAGTGGGGCTAAAGTTTGTGGCAGTGGCATTTCAGGCTCTGCTTGGGCACAGCTGTGCAGACATTCTTCTCTTTCTCTCCTGTTTTGTTTCTGTGACCAGCTCCTTACCAGCTGTTAGGGCTGTAGGATGCTTCTGCGGCTTTTGCTAGCCGAGTTTGGGGATTGGTTTCAGAGCTCAGATTGCACTTTTGACCAACACAAGCTCTGGGCAGCTGGGTTATACCAGCGTTCCTGTTGGTGTTTGTCTCCAGTGATCTGTGTGCTGCTGGGAAGTGCTGGGAAGCACGGGAAGCAGCTGAGGTTTTGTCAGCAGCACGTGTGCTGTGCCTGCTTTCCCTGTCATTGGGTGCCTTCCCAGTGGTTGTTTTCTCTGTGAAATATTGAGGTGGTGTGCATGGCCCAGGAAGCTGAGAGAGTGGCAGGAGTATCTGTTTACTCCCTCTCTGCCTCCTGAATGGGTCTTATGTGAGAGGTTTATTGCACATGAGAGTCCATAAAAAGCCATGTGACCCAGCTGTGGGGGACACACGCATAACTCATGAGTGCCTGTGTCCTGATTTGGGCCAGGAGTAGTTTGTAGGGACAAGAAGAGGCCTGGCCACACCATTGAACTGTCTTTTGGCCAGTGTTGGCTGAGTGCAGTAGCAGCCTGAGGGGCACTGCTGAGTGCAGGGGATGCCCAGAGCACCACCTGAGTGTGAGCTGGTGCCCTGCAATCTTGTCTTTGTCCTATCTAACTGTCTGTCTTGTTGTCACCTCTCAGACTGTTCCTGCACCTGGTCGGAATGGTTCGATGTGACTTACCCAGATGGCTCTGACAGGAACAGTGGTGACTACGAAACCTTTGAGAACATTTGGAAGCATTACCCCTCCTGGGAGTGTGCGAAAGTTGAAAATATTTCCTGCCGAGCAGAGAAATTCCCTAGCTCTTCCATTGCAGATTTAGGGCAGAAAGTGGAATGTAACGTTAACGTAGGGCTCATCTGTAACAATAAAGATCAGCAGATTGGAGGTATAATACCGATGCCAGTCTGCCTCAACTACGAGATCAGTGTCTGCTGCACCCCCAACAGACCAGAGTGTCTTCCAACTCCAAGCACCACGAGCACCACAACTTCCACAGCTTCACCCACAACAAGCAGTGTGTCCTCTCCAATATCAACCACCGCTCCAACGACAACAGCAGAGACTCACATCTCTACCACCACCACCACCACGATGCCCCCCAGCAGCACCACCACTAGTGGCAGCACCTCACAGACAACAACAACTGCTCCTGTCTCAACAACACCCGTTTCAACTACTTCAAGCACATCAATGCCCACACCAACCTACACCACCACCACATCAACTTCAGGTGCTTCTCTGATCTGTGCTTTCATGTGTTTTCTTGCTGTGGGGAACTGAAGGTCTGTGAGCACCTCCATTTGTGCCTCTCTCTGGGATCTGAGATTGGACTAATTGTTGTGTATTCCCTGAAACGGCCTTTGCCCAAAGGTGGCCATTGGGCTGGTTGTTTCAGAAGGAGCAAGAATACATGGCTCCATGTCCTCCCCTCCTGTGGAGATCTTGATCCTCTTGTTACTGTGCATACATCCTTCCCTGACCACAGATTCCCGTATCAGCTCTTACTCCATGAGTTACTGAGGTGTTCAGGTAATGAGGCAGAGATAGAAAGCCCCCAGTAGATGAAAAGCATTACGCCTCCTCCTCTCTTCCCTATAGGCAGATCTCTCAGATTTTGTGCGAATCACCTTCCAGCACTATCCCCAGTATTATCACTAGGCAAGGGGGCCTGCGACCTTGTGTCTGCATGGATGTCAGGGATTCTGCTTTCTATGGCCAGAAAGGGAGGGCTGGTTTGGGGGACCTTTGTTGGTCTAAGGGTGGGCTGACTTTTCTAGGTCTGTGGCTGCTGCCTCATGCACAGCTCCTGTTGAGTTCACATTGAGTCCCACTGATGCCTTTGTGTCTTTTTTCCTCTGTCCCTGCTGTTTCCAACAGGCACAACTCCACCCCCATCAAGCACACCAATATCGACAACCACTACCTCACCCCCGGAGACTACCACCACCACCACCAGCCCTCCAAGCTCAACAACAACAACCACAGCAATGGTTACTGGATCACCAACAACCATCTCAACTCCTGGAAGTATGTTCCCAGCAGTAGTAATTCCCACCAAATTACTCTGCATCTCACTACAAAACCATCAAATAATTATCTGGTCCTGTTGTCATTTCTGACCTTCTACTGGGATTACTGAAGGTCTGCGAGTGCCTCCATTTGTGGCTCTGGATGGGATTAGGGATCAGTGTAACTTCTGGACATCCCATGAAATGTCATGTGCCCAAAGCTGGACATTTGGTCTGGCTGTTTCAGAAGGAACAATTATTTAAGGTTCTTGGGGAGAAGGTTTTGACTTCCCTGACTCAGCAGTTCTGCAAGGAGGTATTTCATCCTGGTGCTTCATCTTAAACAGATTCTCAAGTAAAGGATATTTTGTTCTTACCTCTTTTGGTCTTAATCCTTCAACTGGCCAGAATATAGTCACTGGACCCATAGAATGCAATTGGAGTGGGACTTGGTCTTGTGACACTTGCATTTCAGGCTTTATTTGGGCACAGCTGTGTGTAGTTTCCCACCTTTCTCCTTTACCTTTTACTGGTAATGGTGTTCAGCTACTATAGCTGTAAGAAGGAAGGATTCTTCTGCCAGGCTTTTGGGAACAGTTTTAGTCTGCATACTACCATTTGCTGTGAACTGTGGTCTTTGGCTGATCAGATCCACTAGTACAGTGGGAAGCCCTTTATCAGGCTGACACTGGAAAATCATATGACAAACAGGCAGGAAGATATTCCTGTGCATCCTTCCTTCCCTTACCACACATTTGCATCTCAGGTCTTGCTCGTGTTTAGTGAGGTGTTCAGGTAATGAGGCAGAGATAGAAAGCTCCAGCAAGTTTGAAAACATTACTCCTCCTCATCTCTTACCTATTGATATGTCTCTCTGATTTGGTGAGAAGCACCTTCCAGCACCATTCCCAGTCTCCTAGCTAGGAGAGGAGGACCATCACCCTCTCTGGATGTCTGGATCCCCATCATCTTCATGGTTGTCAAGGATTCTTTTCTCTGGGGTCAGAGAGGGAGGGTTGTTGCTACGGATCTTTGCTGTGCTAAGTATAGGCTGACACTTCTAGATCTGGGGCAGCTGCCTCATGCAGAGCTTCTGTTCAGTTCCTATTGAATCCTGCTCATGCTTTTGTGCCTTTGTTTTTTCTGTCCCTGCTGTTTCCAACAGGCACACCTCCATCCACACCAAGCACAACATCCAGGACATCAGAATCGCCAACCTCTCACTTGCCATCAGAGACTCCCACCACCACTGCCAGCACCACAATGCCCCCCAGCAGCACCACCAGTATCAGCACTCCGAGCACAACTGTTACTGAATCACCAACACCCACCTCAACTACTCCAAGCACATCCACGCCCACACCAACATACACCATCACCACGACTCCAGGTACTTCTACATTTTGTGCTCTCACACATTCCCCTTCTGTTGGAGTAATGAAGATCTGTAAGCACCTCTTTCTGCCTCTGTGTGGGATCAGGGATGGGTATAATTCCTAGGTACTCCAGGAAATGGCCTGTTCCAAACCTGGTGTTTTGGGCTGGCTGTTTCATAAGGAACAGGTATTCAGGGATTACAGAAAGAAGGTCTTGGCTTCCCTGACTCAACAGGGCACCAAGGAGTTATTTCATGCTGGTGCCCAGCTTAGATGCTGAACTGATGAGAAGTGTTGCTTTTCCTGGTTTTGGGCCATCCTTCTACTGGCCAGAATGGAATCACTGGAGCCATGGAGTTCATTTAGAGTAGGGCTTGGTCTAGTGGCAGTGGCCTATCAGGTTCTGTCTGGACACTGCTGTTCCAAGTTTTTTCCCTTTCGCCTTCTTTTTCCAGTCAGTGTTAAAAGTTGTCAGTTGCAATAGATGTTGGAAGGAACGATTCCCCTGCCAGACTTTTGGGACCAATTTCTCTCTGCAGACTGCCCCATGCTGTGAACTGTTGATGAGATTCACTAGTGCCTTGGTGAGATTCACTAGAGCCCAGGAAAGTTGTTCATCGGGCCTTCATTGCGCCACAGGGACATCACATGATCAGGCAGGAATATATTCACAGAATCAGTTAGGTTGGAAAAGATCACTGAGATCATCATGTCCAGCCTTTGCCTGAACACCACCATGTCAACTAGACCATGGCACTAAGTCCCACATCCACTTTTGTCTTAAAAGCCACCAGACACTGTGCCTCTGTCACCTCCTTGGGCAGTCCATTGCAGTGTCTAATCATTTGTTCTCTGGAGAAATTCCTCCTAATATCCAACTTAAACCTTCCCCAGCACAACTGCCTCATGCACAGCTTCTGTTGAGTTGACACTGAGTCCCACTCACGTCTTTGTGCCTTTGTCTGTTTTCTCTGTTTCCCTGCTGTTTCTAACAGGCACATCTCCATCCACACTGAGCACAACAGAATCCACAACCACTACCCCGCCGCCGGAGACTACCCCCTCCACCACCAGCCCTCCAAGCACAACAACCACTGGTCCTGAATCAACAACAACCATCTCAACTTCTCCAAGTATGTTTCCAAAAGCAATAATTCTCACCAAAACCCCTCTGGCCCCAGGAACAGAACTGACAAATAATTCTCTAGTTCTGTTGTCATTTCTGACCTTGCTGTGGGAGTAGTGAAGGTCCATGAAACACCTCCATATGTGGCTTTAGATGGGATCAGAGATGGGTGTAACTTCTGGGAATCCCAGGAAAAGTCCTGTGGCCAAGTTTGGCCCTTGGACTGGCTATTTCATAGGGAAAAAGGATTTAGGGGTTCTTGGGAGAAGGTCTTATCTTTCCTGACTCAACAGTGCTTCAAGGAGGTATTTCATGTTGGTGCCCAGCTTAGACAGATGCTGAACCAATGGGTAACATTACTTTTGCAGCTGTTGGACAGTGTCCTTCAGCTGGCCAGAATGTAATCACTGGAGTCATGGAGTGTGGAGTGCAGTTGGAGTGGGACTTGGTCTTGTAGCAGTGGCATTTCAGGTTGTGTTTGGGTTTAGCTGTGTAGGCTTTCCTCCTTTTTTTCTCCTCCTATGCCCTCTGTGTGTTAGTGGTTGTCAGCTGTTAAACGTGTAAGAAGGAAGGATTCTCCTGCCAGCCTTTTTGGGAACAGTTTCACTCTGCAGACTGTCTCCTGCTGTGTACTGTAATTTTTGGCTGATGGTACCTCTGATGAGATCCACTAGTGCCCAGGAAAGCCCTGCATCAGACTGACATTGGAACACAGGGGAGTCACATGCCAATCAGGCAGGAACATACTCCTGGGCATGCTTTCCTTCCCAGTTTCCACTCTTATCTCCTATTCCATGAGTTAGTGAGGTGTTCCAGTAATGAGGCAGAGATAGAATGCTCCATCTAGATCCCAAACACTGCTCCTCCTCATCTCTTACCTATTGGTTTGTCTGTCTGATTTTGTGAGAAGCACCTTCCAGCACCATCTTTAATCTCTTCACTAGGAGAGAAGGGCCATGACACTTTCTGTGCATGGATGACAAGGATTCTGCTTTCTACAGCTAGAAAGGAAGGGCTGGTTCTGGGGACCATTGCTGTGCGAAGGGTGGGCTGAACTCTCTAGGTCTGTACCAGCTGCCTCATGTGCAGCTTCTGCTGTGTTCGTATTGAGTCTCATTGATGCCTTTGTGCCTTTGTCTGTTTTCTCTGTCTCTGCTGTTTCCAACAGCCCCACCTCCGAGCACACCAGGTACACCAACTACTCCCACTCCGACAACATCTGAAACTCCCAACATCACTTCCAGCACCACAATGCCCCCCAGCAGCACCACCAGCATCAGCACCCCTAGGACAACAACAACAACTGTTAGTGGCTCATCAACAACCTTCTCAACTACTTCAAGCACATCCACACCAATATCAGGATATACGACCACCGTACCAACTCCAGGTTCTTCTGCCTTGTCTGATCTTGTGTCCTCTTGCTTAGAGAGTAATGAAGATCTGTTAGCACTTCCATTTGTGCTTCAATATAGAATTGGGGATGGGTGTAACTGCTGTGCATCCCATGAAATGCCCTTTGCCCAAAGCTGGAACTTGGGCTGACTGTTTCAGAAGTGATGAAAATTCAGGGGTTCTTCTGAGAAGCTCTTGGCTTCCATTACTCAACAGGCATCTAATAAGGTGTTTCATGCTGATACTGCTGCTGGGCTTAGAGAGATGCTAAATTGATGGGAAATCCTGTGTACTTGTTGGACCTTGTCCTTCATCTGTCAAGAATTTAGTCACTGGACTTAAGTGTGAAATTGCAATGAGGATTAGTCTTGTGGCACTGTAATTTCAGGTGCTTTCTGGGAAAAATTTTGCAGACTTTATTCACTGTCTTCTCCTCCTCTACAATGTCAGTTCTAGTGGGTGCCAGTGTTTAGAGATACAGGAGGCAGGGATTTCTGTGACAGGCTATTGGGAACAGTTTCACTCTCCAGACTGTCACTTCCTCTGACGTACGGTCTTTGGCTGATGAGATTCACAAATCCTCTGGGAATCCCTTCAGAGGGCCGATATCAAATCAGTGGAGCAATTGTACAATGAGGCAGGAACATATTTCTGTGTGTGCTTCATTCTTGAACCACACATTCCCCTCTCAGCTCCTGCCTCAGCATTTGGTGAGGTGTTCAGAAAATGAGGCAGAGATAGAAGGCATCAGCCAGATCAAAAGAATTACTCCTCCTCCTCTCTTACTTGGTATTTCTGATTTTGTGCAAAGCAACTTCCAGAACCATCCCCAGTGTCCTAGCAAGGAAAGGAGGAGCATGACCATCTCAGTGCATGGATTTCAAGGATTCTTCTCTCTGGGGCCAGAAAAGGGATAGTGCTAGGGACTTTTGTTGAAATAAGAGTGGGTTGATGCCTCTAGGTCTCGGCCAGCTACCCCATGCACAGCTTCTGTTGACTTCCTATAGATTCCCACTGATGCCTTTGTGCCTTTGTCTGTTTTCTCTGTCCCTGATGTTTCTAACAGTAACACCCAGTGCGCCATCTTCTACATCAGAAGTGACACCCACTTCCACGTCACCAGAGACTCTCAGCACCACCACCACCACCACCACAACCACCACCACCACCAGACCAACGACGACACCAACAACTGTTACACCAACCATCACAACTCCTATAAGTATGATTCAAAGCCAAGTAATTCCTGCCCAAAGCCCTGTGCCTTCAATTACAGTACCAACAAATAGTTCTCGGGCTCTGTTGTAATTTCTGGCCTTGCTGTGGGAGTAGTGAAGATTCATGAGCACCTCCATTTGTGGCTCTGGAAGGGATCAGGGACGGGTGTAATTTCTGGGCAACCTGTGGCCAAGTCTGGCCAGAAATTCTGGCTATTTCATAAGGAACAAGGATTTAGGGGTTCTTGGGGAAGGTCTTGTCTTCCCTGATTCAACAGTTCTCCAAGGAGGTATTTCATACTTGTGCCCAGTTGGAGTGGGGCTAAAGTTTGTGGCAGTGGCATTTCAGGCTCTGCTTGGGCACAGCTGTGCAGACATTCTTCTCTTTCTCTCCTGTTTTGTTTCTGTGACCAGCTCCTTACCAGCTGTTAGGGCTGTAGGATGCTTCTGCGGCTTTTGCTAGCCGAGTTTGGGGATTGGTTTCAGAGCTCAGATTGCACTTTTGACCAACACAAGCTCTGGGCAGCTGGGTTATACCAGCGTTCCTGTTGGTGTTTGTCTCCAGTGATCTGTGTGCTGCTGGGAAGTGCTGGGAAGCACGGGAAGCAGCTGAGGTTTTGTCAGCAGCACGTGTGCTGTGCCTGCTTTCCCTGTCATTGGGTGCCTTCCCAGTGGTTGTTTTCTCTGTGAAATATTGAGGTGGTGTGCATGGCCCAGGAAGCTGAGAGAGTGGCAGGAGTATCTGTTTACTCCCTCTCTGCCTCCTGAATGGGTCTTATGTGAGAGGTTTATTGCACATGAGAGTCCATAAAAAGCCATGTGACCCAGCTGTGGGGGACACACGCATAACTCATGAGTGCCTGTGTCCTGATTTGGGCCAGGAGTAGTTTGTAGGGACAAGAAGAGGCCTGGCTACACCATTGAACTGTCTTTTGGCCAGTGTTGGCTGAGTGCAGTAGCAGCCTGAGGGGCACTGCTGAGTGCAGGGGATGCCCAGAGCACCACCTGAGTGTGAGCTGGTGCCCTGCAATCTTGTCTTTGTCCTATCTAACTGTCTGTCTTGTTGTCACCTCTCAGACTGTTCCTGCACCTGGTCGGAATGGTTCGATGTGACTTACCCAGATGGCTCTGACAGGAACAGTGGTGACTACGAAACCTTTGAGAACATTTGGAAGCATTACCCCTCCTGGGAGTGTGCGAAAGTTGAGAATATTTCCTGCCGAGCAGAGAAATTCCCTAGCTCTTCCATTGCAGATTTAGGGCAGAAAGTGGAATGTAACGTTAACGTAGGGCTCATCTGTAACAATAAAGATCAGCAGATTGGAGGTATAATACCGATGCCAGTCTGCCTCAACTACGAGATCAGTGTCTGCTGCACCCCCAACAGACCAGAGTGTCTTCCAACTCCAAGCACCACGAGCACCACAACTTCCACAGCTTCACCCACAACAAGCAGTGTGTCCTCTCCAATATCAACCACCGCTCCAACGACAACAGCAGAGACTCACATCTCTACCACCACCACCACCACGATGCCCCCCAGCAGCACCACCACTAGTGGCAGCACCTCACAGACAACAACAACTGCTCCTGTCTCAACAACACCCGTTTCAACTACTTCAAGCACATCAACGCCCACACCAACCTACACCACCACCACATCAACTTCAGGTGCTTCTCTGATCTGTGCTTTCATGTGTTTTCTTGCTGTGGGGAACTGAAGGTCTGTGAGCACCTCCATTTGTGCCTCTCTCTGGGATCTGAGATTGGACTAATTGTTGTGTATTCCCTGAAACAGCCTTTGCCCAAAGGTGGCCATTGGGCTGGTTGTTTCAGAAGGAGCAAGAATACATGGCTCCATATCCTCCCCTCCTGTGGAGATCTTGATCCTCTTGTTACTGTGCATACATCCTTCCCTGACCACAGATTCCCGTATCAGCTCTTACTCCATGAGTTACTGAGGTGTTCAGGTAATGAGGCAGAGATAGAAAGCCCCCAGTAGATGAAAAGCATTACGCCTCCTCCTCTCTTCCCTATAGGCAGATCTCTCAGATTTTGTGCGAATCACCTTCCAGCACTATCCCCAGTATTATCACTAGGCAAGGGGGCCTGCAACCTTGTGTGTGCATGGATGTCAGGGATTCTGCTTTCTATGGCCAGAAAGGGAGGGCTGGTTTGGGGGACCTTTGTTGGTCTAAGGGTGGGCTGACTTTTCTAGGTCTGTGGCTGCTGCCTCATGCACAGCTCCTGTTGAGTTCACATTGAGTCCCACTGATGCCTTTGTGTCTTTGTCTGTTTTCTCTGTCCCTGCTGTTTCCAACAGGCACAACTCCATCCACACCGAGCACATCATCCACTACACCAGAATTGCCCACCACCTCATCGGAGACTCCCAGTACCACAACCACCACCACCACCACCAGCAGCTCTCCGGGTACAACCACAACTCCTACTGGTTCACCAACACCCACCTCAACTACTTCAAGCACCTCCTCTCCCACACCAACCTACACCATCACCCTATCAACTCCAGGTACTTTTTAGTTTTGTCGTCTCATATGTTCTTTGCCTTTGGGAGTACTAAGGGTCTGGGAACACCTACTTTTTTGCCTCTGTATGGCATCAAGAATGTATTAGCTTCTGGACAGCCCCTGAAACAGCCTTTGCCCATAGCTGGCCCTTCAGCTCTGTTTCAGAAGGAACAAAGACTTTGTAGTTTTTGCTGCTATTGACTTTGTCTTTCAGCCAGCCAGAGTGGCATCTCTTGACACATGGAGTGTAATAGAGTGGAGCTTGATTTTGTAACACTTGCATTTCAAGCTCGTCTTAGGCATAGATGTGTAGTCTTTCTTCCTTCTCTCCTGGTCCTTTGCCATGTGAGTGCTAATGCTTCTAAGCTATTATACATGCAGGAAGGAAGCTTTCCTCTGCCATGCTATTGGAAGGAGTTTCACTCTGCAGACTGTGAACTGTGGTCTTTACCTGAGAAAATTCACTAGTACTCTGGGAACTCCTCACATCAGAAAATCACATGCCAATCAGGAAGGAACATACTGCTGTGTCTGCTTCCTTCCCAGGTCACAGCTTCCCATCTCAGCTCTTACCTGAGGATTTAGTGTGGTGTTCTAGATAATGACATGGAGATAGAAAGCCTCAGCAAGATCAAAAGCATAGCTCCTTCTCATCTCTTACCTATTGGCAGGTCTTTCTGATTTTGTGCAAAGCACCTTCCCTCACTATCTTCAGTCTCTTTACTAGGAGAGGAGGGTCATGACCCTATGTGTGCACAAATTTCAAGGAGTTTGCTTTCTGGGGGTCATAAAAGAAGGGATCATGCTAGGGATCTCTGCGGACCTAAGGGTGGTCTGACCTCTCTAGGTCTGTGCCAGCTGCCTCATGCACAGCTTCTGTTGAGTTGACACTGAGTCCCACTCACGTCTTTGTGCCTTTGTCTGTTTTCTCTGTTTCCCTGCTGTTTCTAACAGGCACATCTCCATCCACACTGAGCACAACAGAATCCACAACCACTACCCCGCCGCCGGAGACTACCCCCTCCACCACCAACCCTCCAAGCACAACAACCACTGGTCCTGAATCAACAACAACCATCTCAACTTCTCCAAGTATGTTTCCAAAAGCAATAATTCTCACCAAAACCCCTCTGGCCCCAGGAACAGAACTGACAAATAATTCTCTAGTTCTGTTGTCATTTCTGACCTTGCTGTGGGAGTAGTGAAGGTCCATGAAACACCTCCATATGTGGCTTTAGATGGGATCAGAGATGGGTGTAACTTCTGGGAATCCCAGGAAAAGTCCTGTGGCCAAGTTTGGCCCTTGGACTGGCTATTTCATAGGGAAAAAGGATTTAGGGGTTCTTGGGAGAAGGTCTTATCTTTCCTGACTCAACAGTGCTTCAAGGAGGTATTTCATGTTGGTGCCCAGCTTAGACAGATGCTGAACCAATGGGTAACATTACTTTTGCAGCTGTTGGACAGTGTCCTTCAGCTGGCCAGAATGTAGTCACTGGAGCCATGGAGTGCAGTTGGAGTGGGACTTGGTCTTGTAGCAGTGGCATTTCAGGCTGTGTTTGGGTTTAGCTGTGTAGGCTTTCCTCCTTTTTTTCTCCTCCTATGCCCTCTGTGTGTTAGTGGTTGTCAGCTGTTAAACGTGTAAGAAGGAAGGATTCTCCTGCCAGCCTTTTTGGGAACAGTTTCACTCTGCAGACTGCCTCCTGCTGTGTCCTGTAATTTTTGGCTGATGGTACCTCTGATGAGATCCACTAGTGCCCAGGGAAGCCCTGCATCAGACTGATATTGGAACACAGAAAGAATCACATGCTAATGATGTGCATGCTTCCATCCCTGATTACAGATTTTCATCTCAGCTCTTACCCCAGAATGTAGCAAGGTGTTCAGATAATGAGGCAGGGATAGAATGCCCCCGCCAGATCCCAAACACTGCTCCTCCTCATCTCTTACCTATTGGTAGGTCTCTGATGCTGTGAGAAGCACCTTCCAGCACCATCTTTAATCTCTTCACTAGGAGAGAAGGGCCATGACACTTTTTGTGCATGGATGTCAAGGATTCTGCTTTCTACAGCCAGAAAGGAAGGGCTGGTTCTGGGGACCATTGCTGTGCGAAGGGTGGGCTGAACTCACTAGGTCTGTGCCAGCTGCCTCCTGCACAGCTTCTGTTCTATTCACATTGAGCCCCACTGATGCCTTTGTGCCTTTGTCTGTTTTCTCTGTCCCTGCTTTTTCTAACAGGCACGTCTCCATCCACACCAAACACACCAGTATTGACAAGCACTACCTCGCCGCCAGAGACTACCACCACCACCAGCACCCCGATGAGCACAACCACTGTTACTGGACCACCGACTTCCACCTCAACTACTTCAAGCACATCCTCACCAACACCAACATACACCACCACCACACCAACTCCAGGTACTTCTCTGGCCTGTACTGTTTCTTGCTCCCATTCTGTGGTTGCCCTGAAGGTACAAGAGCACCTCAAACTGTGTGTCTCAGATGGATCTGGGATGGGTGTAACTGCAGAACATCCCTGGAAGAGCCATTGCTTAAAACTTGCCTTTCATCTGGCTATTAAAAAGGAACAAGGTTTTGTGGTTCTGTGCAAAAAATCTGGTCTTCCCTCACTCTAAAAGGCTCAGAGAAGGTGTTTCATGCTGATGCTCGGCTTACTCAGATCATAAAATGATAGGAAATCTTGCCTTTTTTTCCCTGCTGGACTGCATCCCTCAGCTGGCCAGAACACATTCACTGGACATACGTGCAATTGTGGCATGGTACTCTCAGTACTGGCATTTGAGGGACTGATTTGACATAACTGTGTAGGTCTCCTTCCCACTCTCCCATTCCTTTGCCCTATCAGTGCTAATGCTTGTCAGCTGTTACAGATGTAGGAAGGATGGATATGCTTTTGGGAACAATTTCATTCTGCAGACTGTGACTTTCTGTGAACTGTGGTCTTGGATGATCAGATCCACTAGTACTCTGAGAAGCCACATATCAGGGTGATATTGTGAAACTACATGCCAATCAGGCAGGAACACACTGCTGTGTCTGCTTCCTTCCCGGATCACAGCTTCCCATCTCAGCTCTTACCTGAGGATTTAGTGTGGTGTTCTAGATAATGACATGGAGATAGAAAGCCTCAGCAAGATCAAAAGCATAGCTCCTTCTCATCTCTTACCTATTGGCAGGTCTTTCTGATTTTGTGCAAAGCACCTTCCCTCACTATCTTCAGTCTCTTTACTAGGAGAGGAGGGTCATGACCCTATGTGTGCACAAATTTCAAGGAGTTTGCTTTCTGGGGGTCATAAAAGAAGGGATCATGCTAGGGATCTCTGCGGACCTAAGGGTGGTCTGACCTCTCTAGGTCTGTGCCAGCTGCCTCATGCACAGCTTCTGTTGAGTTGACACTGAGTCCCACTCACGTCTTTGTGCCTTTGTCTGTTTTCTCTGTTTCCCTGCTGTTTCTAACAGGCACATCTCCATCCACACTGAGCACAACAGAATCCACAACCACTACCCCGCCGCCGGAGACTACCCCCTCCACCGCCAGCCCTCCAAGCACAACAACCACTGGTCCTGAATCAACAACAACCATCTCAACTTCTCCAAGTATGTTTCCAAAAGCAATAATTCTCACCAAAACCCCTCTGGCCCCAGGAACAGAACTGACAAATAATTCTCTAGTTCTGTTGTCATTTCTGACCTTGCTGTGGGAGTAGTGAAGGTCCATGAAACACCTCCATATGTGGCTTTAGATGGGATCAGAGATGGGTGTAACTTCTGGGAATCCCAGGAAAAGTCCTGTGGCCAAGTTTGGCCCTTGGGCTGGCTATTTCATAGGGAAAAAGGATTTAGGGGTTCTTGGGGGAAGGTCTTGACTTTCCTGACTCAACAGTGCTTCAAGGAGGTATTTCATGTTGGTGCCCAGCTTAGACAGATGCTGAACCAATGGGTAACATTACTTTTGCAGCTGTTGGACAGTGTCCTTCAGCTGGCCAGAATGTAGTCACTGGAGCCATGGAGCGCAGTTGGAGTGGGACTTGGTCTTGTAGCAGTGGCATTTCAGGCTGTGATTGGGTTTAGCTGTGTAGGCTTTCCTCCTTTTTTTCTCCTCCTATGCCCTCTGTGTGTTAGTGGTTGTCAGCTATTAAAGGTGCAAGAAGAAGGATTCTCCTGCCAGTCTTTTTGGGAACAGTTTCACTCTGCAGACTGCCTCCTGCTGTGTACTGTAATTTTTGGCTGATGGTACCTCTGATGAGATCCACTAGTGCCCAGGGAAGCCCTGCATCAGACTGATATTGGAACACAGAAAGAATCACATGCTAATGATGTGCATGCTTCCATCCCTGATTACAGATTTTCATCTCAGCTCTTACCCCAGAATGTAGCAAGGTGTTCAGATAATGAGGCAGGGATAGAATGCCCCCGCCAGATCCCAAACACTGCTCCTCCTCATCTCTTACCTATTGGTAGGTCTCTGATGCTGTGAGAAGCACCTTCCAGCACCATCTTTAATCTCTTCACTAGGAGAGAAGGGCCATGACACTTTTTGTGCATGGATGTCAAGGATTCTGCTTTCTACAGCCAGAAAGGAAGGGCTGGTTCTGGGGACCATTGCTGTGCGAAGGGTGGGCTGAACTCACTAGGTCTGTGCCAGCTGCCTCCTGCACAGCTTCTGTTCTATTCACATTGAGCCCCACTGATGCCTTTGTGCCTTTGTCTGTTTTCTCTGTCCCTGCTTTTTCTAACAGGCACGTCTCCATCCACACCAAACACACCAGTATTGACAAGCACTACCTCGCCGCCAGAGACTACCACCACCACCAGCACCCCGATGAGCACAACCACTGTTACTGGACCACCGACTTCCACCTCAACTACTTCAAGCACATCCTCACCAACACCAACATACACCACCACCACACCAACTCCAGGTACTTCTCTGGCCTGTACTGTTTCTTGCTCCCATTCTGTGGTTGCCCTGAAGGTACAAGAGCACCTCAAACTGTGCATCTCAGATGGATCTGGGATGGGTGTAACTGCAGAACATCCCTGGAAGAGCCGTTGCTTAAAACTTGCCTTTCATCTGGCTATTAAAAAGGAACAAGGTTTTGAGGTTCTGTGCAAAAAATCTGGTCTTCCCTCACTCAAAAAGGCTCAGAGAAGGTGTTTCATGCTGATGCTCAGCTTACACAGATCTTGAAATGATAAGAAATCTTGCCTTTTTTTTTCCTGCTGGACTGCATCCCTCAGCTGGCCAGAACACATTCACTGGACATACGTGCAATTGTGGCATGGTACTCTCAGTACTGGCATTTGAGGGACTGATTTGACATAACTGTGTAGGTCTCCTTTCCACTCTCCCATTCCTTTGCCCTATCAGTGCTAATGCTTGTCAGCTGTTACAGATGTAGGAAGGATGGATATGCTTTTGGGAACAATTTCATTCTGCAGACTGTGACTTTCTGTGAACTGTGGTCTTGGATGATCAGATCCACTAGTACTCTGAGAAGCCACATATCAGGGTGATATTGGGAAACTACATGCCAATCAGGCAGGAACACACTGCTGTGTCTGCTTCCTTCCCGGATCACAGCTTCCCATCTCAGCTCTTACCTGAGGATTTAGTGTGGTGTTCTAGATAATGACATGGAGATAGAAAGCCTCAGCAAGATCAAAACCATTGCTCCTCATCTCTTACCTATTGGTAGGTCTCTCTGTTTTGGTGGGAAGAACCTTCCAGCAACATCTTTTTGCTCAGCAGGAAGGGACATGACTCCCTGTGTGCATGGATTTCCAATATTGTGCTTTTTGGGGCCAGAAAGGAAGGTCTGGTGCTAGGCTGGTCTGACCCTTCTAGATCTGTGTCAGCTGCCTCATGTGTAGCTTCTGTTGAGTTTACATTGAGTCCCACTGATGCCTTTGTGCCTTTTTCTGTTTTCTCTGTCCCTGCTGTTTCCAACAGGCACATCTCCATCCACCCTGGGCACACCAAATTCGACAACCACTACCTCACTGCCGGAGACTACCACCTCCACCACCAGCCCTCCAAGCACAACCACCACTGTTCCAACTACCACCAGTGTTCCAATTAACATCAGAACCCCGACGACTCCACCCATTGAACCAATAAGTAATTCTCTGGGTTTTATGTTCTTTGCTGATTTTAGAAAACCGGGTTTATTGGCAGCTTAACATGTGTTTTAATTTCTATACTCTGCATTGCTGTAGTCAATTATATTTCAAAAACCTCCCAGATAACCTTTCAGCAGCAATGTTGTATCTCCTGCTGTCCCAGTTCATCTGCTTCTTTTGAAGGGCATGAAGTACATGAAGGAGTTTGCCTGCTCTCACCCAAATGTAAATTAGTTTTCATTGAAGGACTGTTCTTGTGGCCTGCCTGGGCAGAACCAGTGTATCTTAATTCCTCTAACATTATTACTGCACTCTTATTGTGTACACAGTACTTCTCTCTCCACCATGTGTCACTTATATCATGCTATAAAAGTACAAATAGATGACTCAGAGGCTGGCCTGTGAGAATCATGAACACTTTTTAACATCTTAATAAAAAAACTATTTCAAAGGAGTCTCCAGTAGCAACAATAATGAAAACTGGCTATGTGAAAAAGCAGAAAAGTGTATTTTGGGTTTGTAGCATCCCAAAATAGCTTGTGTGTGCATAGTCTTAAAGGCCTGGGCATTAGAAATGGATGGAACACATTAGAATGCTCCAGCAATGGCTCAGTTTCTGTAGAATCAAATGATTCTGAGCATAATCAATGGTGGTATGAATGTGCCACATGAAGCAGCACAGGGAATAATGGTCTTTCCATAGGATATAGTATGACAGCAATACAGTGTTAACTAGAGCTTATTGATCTACTCAGTGGATTCCCCTGGAATCTTAAACTGCTGGGCTCTTCCATGCAATATAAAGTTTAAATACTGCAGATGTTCCCTCTGACACTGATTGTTGATAAAGTGTTAATATCAATGTCTCCTATGCAAGAGGTAGGATATTTTGTTAATAATCCCTCAGTGATGCAAAACCATTAATAAAACAATTTCTGCTTAATTTCTGTCTAAAGACCCTATGCATAGGCTTGTTGAAGCACATATGCTTAGTGGAAAATGAGATGACATTAGGAAGAAAATGCAATTTCCCTACTTAAAATACTCTGTTTTCTTCCTGTCTTAAAGAGACATCTGAACCAGAGACGACACCAAGCACTCCAGTTACTCCTTCAACTGCCCCACTGCTGACAACAAGAATGACTGAAATAAGTACAGTGTCTACTGCAAGCACCACTAGCCAACAGTCAACATCACCAGTGTCAACAAGCCCAGTGACAACTACCACCTCTGAAGTCACTGAAGCATTATCAACCACCATGACCACCACTTCCAGCCCTACACCCTCAAGATCCAGCAGCACCACGCCAGTAACAGAAACACCTATCCATGAGACCACTACCACAAGGACCACAAGCCCTCCAATAGGATTCCCTACAACTTCCACCCCTGGCACCACCTCAACCTCCGGACCAAGCAGCCCTACAGGAACACAACCAGTGTCAACAACCCCATTCACTGGAACAGAGTCAACCACCAAGACAACCACTTCAGGTCCCACACCCTCAGTGTCCACTCCATCTACCACCACAGTAGGAACAGAAAGAAGTACTCCAACGACAACCTCTGCAACTGTTACTACTCCAACAACATCACCTACATCAACCAGCCCCGTGTCAACCACCACCTCTGGTACAACTCCAACACAAAGCTTTACCACCACTTCAGGAACCACTTTTAGTAGTTTTATCACAATCAACGCAACAACCACCATGTCCACCACCTTCAAAACCCTTCCTGTCTCAACTACTACATCTGGGCCTACTGCAACATCAACTGCAGTCACCACTACAGGCAGCTCTACACACAGTACAACTCTTCCAGTTAATGTCTCTAGTTCAACTACAGCTCTAACACCAACCACTGCTAAAAAAACTTGTACTATTTTCCCTAATGTAACTCATGAGGTGAGTGGATTTCATACTTTCATTCTGCTTTGGATGAAGACTAGACACATAACTTCAAAGTTAGAAACATAAAGACTAGGCATTAATCTGGACTGGAAAGAAAGTATCAGTCTGTGTTATCTCCTTAGTTTTCTTGGGCCTCAGCAGGACTTCCAATGATATTTGGATTGATAGCTTACATACTGCAACTAGTTCTTCAAGGATAATTTTTTAAAAGCTTTCTGCAAGGAGATAGATGTCAGTTCAGTGTTTGTTGTAGGATAGCTCTGATGAGGAGGAAACCAAGAGCTAAATGCTCCTAAGCTATCTTTTCTATTTCTGCTTTTGAATAAGTCTATAGAGTGTGTAAAAGTTGTTTGTGTACTTACATTGCAGCCTAATAAAAATCCGCAGGGCTGAATTTGGAATGAGTCATACTTGTTCACAGATTGGTTTCAGAAGAATGGTTCACAGATTGGTTTCAGGACTGTGAAACAGATCACTGCATTCAAATGCTTGTGAAATTATTTGACTCAGAGTTCTTTTTTTTTTTTTTTTTTTTTTTTTTTGAACCCTCCACCTTTGACACAGACAAGTTTGTGTCTTGTACATTTCTAAAGCCTCATCATAATTTAGATGTCTACCAACTTGCACGGTAGATCTGCAGGAATTAAAATTATACATGTCTGCAAAACTGGTAGAAGATAGAAGAAAATTCATGCAATCACGATGCATGAACATAATCACCTTGGACATCTTTCCCTGAACAGTTGGTGTTCACTGTAGCTTTAGATATTAATATGTTCTAGACATTTGTGGAAGGGAATTGGCCATTCATACTGATCAGTGTCTTTCACTGTTCTTTAGAGAGGGTGTTAATGTGATGAGATTAGTTGAGACATCTCACTTCTAGATAGCTGAAATTAGAAAAGGTGATTCTCATTTCGGTTTACTGGCTTGACTTGTGAGTAATGCTTTTCACTTAGCAGCTCTCAGTTGTTCTAGCTCATATTGCAGACCTAGATAGTGCTGACTGATGCACTTCCATCCTATTTTCAGATTTCTGATGGGGAAAAACTTGTCAATAAACATATGGCTTTTTAGAAACCTGCAGAAGATATTCAGGCATAACTATTGTCAATCTCACTGCTTCCTAAAGGTTTGTTTCTGTCTCCCCCCTCCCCCTCTCTTCAAACACAGGAAGGTGACTCATGGATACTCTGTAACTGCACTAAGATTATATGTATAGAAGACAACATTTTCCATGTGATTCCAATAATCTGCAATCCACCCCCGAAACCCACTTGTGCCAATGGACTGTCTCCTGTGCCAGTCATGGATGAGGATGGATGCTGTTGGCACTGGGAGTGTGATTGTAAGTATATATTATATTGAATATTTAATCTCCTGAGGAAACAATATTATCGTCAAGACCCATAATATTTATTAGGGAACAAGTATTGTGCGAGGCTGTGACTCAGTCTTCCAGTGTTGGTTAAAATGCTGTGTTGGATCTTTTTAGCTAATTGAGCGATTGGCTTAAGTTCCCATTATCTCTGCATAACTGTTGCATTAGTAGAGTAAATTGATCTCCCAAAGAAGGATTTCAATGTCCAGATACAGATATTTATAGGCTAGAAGCATATATATATATATAAAATATATATATATGTATATATATATATTTTTTACTTGTTCAGACTATTGGTAAAGATATATCTATGGTACAGTTAATCCTATTCTCAGTTGTCTGTCATTAATGTCAGATGAACTGTGCATTTAAATTGCCTGGTTGTTATTGATAACTTCTAGCTAATGAGTTCATGAATTGACATATGCACTTTATTAAAATTAAAATGCCTAAAGTACACTGTGATATTTCCCACATCTACAGATTTTGCTTGTAGTCTGATATGATTTTGTATGTTGCCATAAGGACCTAACTTAACTGTTTTTTTAGGTTACTGCACTGGCTGGGGAGATCCACATTACATGACTTTTGATGGACTGTACTACAGCTATCAGGGGAATTGTACATATGTCCTTGTGGAAGAGATCAATAAGAAAGTTGACAACTTTGGTGTCTACATTGATAACTACCATTGTGATACACGGGATCCAGTGTCATGTCCTCGAACGCTCATTGTGAGACATGAGACTCAGGAAGTGAGACTAACAACAGTACAACCAAATACTCTACAAGTAGAGGTACTAAAGAATGTTACCATTGATTATTTGATTCAGATATTAATACTGCATCAACAGGATAATTATGTTGACAAGGTTTGGGAAAAAATTAATCTGTGTTTTAGATTCAGTAACAGTTTAGATTATAAAATTAGACCGCTTCAAAGCATTTCTTTACTCTGAATGTGGGGGAGAAAAAATTCAACAGCTTCTTGTATTTTTAATTTCAAGTCTTTGCAGATCTCTCCTAAATACACCAGTGTGGAAAAATTGCTAAGAGTTAAGGATATAAAATATTTATATATTTATATATATAAATTTATATATATATATATATATATATATAATAAAATAATTATAAATTAACTTACATTAACAATAATGTAACAAAGGAAAACAACATAACAATAAAGTGATGGCCTGAAGCATTTTTTAAAAGTACCATTTGTAGGTTTGACTTGTGTAATCTTTTTAATTTTTCAGAGTAGGGCACTTATATTTTTATTCCATTGATAAATGTGATGTCACGGCTTTTGGGCTTCAAAATTAGTCAGAAATGTTTGGGACTTTTTGTAACTTTTTACTGTTTGTTTGGTTTATTTTTGTACATCACTATGTGAGAATATTACAAGTTAGGTTGCATCATATTGCTGAAAATTTACAACATTTGGGCCTCTTTTTTTTCTCTAAAGCAAAGAAATCTCTGATTGCTGAGTGAAAGTAGTATTAGTTTCACAGGTGTATCATGGCTACTGTATTTAAATAAATAATACAGTTTTAGTTGTATTTCCATTATTTAATTTTCCTATAAGCATGTTCCCTTTATGCCATGAAACCTAAAACTTTATACCATATGAATTTAGGAGAATTTTATATTCCACTTTCATAAGGAGTCCTTGGTGCCATAGTCACTCTAATAAGTCTGTTGAATGTTAGGATTTATCTGGTTTAAACCTTGAATAACTTCATTTGTCAGAGGTTAACGGGCTTTTTGTGGCTCAGAGAAGAAAAGTTTGACTTTCCAGTAACAAAGGAAACACAGGAACATTGTTATAAATTCAAAGGATATTATTTACCTTTACATTCTCTCTGCAAGACAAATGAACAGTCGATTGTTTTGAAAAGTCAAACTAAATTTATTCCTCTTTTCTGTTTTCCTTTATTTATTAGGTGACAGTAAACAACCAGCTTGTGGCTTTGCCTTATAAGAAGTTTGGTGTGAGCGTCTATGAGTCAGGCATAAATCGTGTTGTGGAAATTCCTGAGCTGAAAATGAACGTGACCTACAATGGCTTGTCCTTTTCTATCAGAATGCCCTACAGCCTGTTTGGCAACAATACCCAGGGACAGTGTGGTAAGGCTTACTCTTCCAATTTTTGCACTCTCAGAAAACCACTGTGACAGCCCTGCTGCAAAGATAAATGGTATTTCCGAACAAATCTGTGAGTGAATTCTTTCTCCCCGTACCACCCTTAGGTACTTGCAATAACAACACGGCAGATGACTGCATGCTGCCAAATGGAAACATTGCAGAAAACTGTGAAACCATGGCAGATCATTGGCAAGTTGTTGATCCTTCTAAACCACAGTGCTCTCCAGGCCTAGTTCCTCCAGGTTCACCTAGCACAACACCAGCACAGCCTTGCAAAGAATCTTCCATCTGTGAGCTACTTTTGGGAAGGTAACAATCCTCTTGGTTTTACAAGCCTTTGGTCTTTGATTTAAATGGGGATTTTAGGATTAATGTACCAGTGGAAAGTGTTTCTAACTATTTCTCTATTTCTTGTATCATTATGATTTGCTTCTACTAATTTCTCTTTTTCTGGTTTTTATTCTTTGCTGACAGTTTCTTTCAACCCTCTGGCTGCCACATTAACTGTTGCTGATGTTCCCATATTCTTCTACACTCTCTGCCCTCCCCTGTCCCATGTTGTTGCCTTTTCCCACATTTACTTAGCAGAAAACAGAGTCCAGCTGAAAACAGAGATCTTAATTTTTAGAACACTGTGTCAGAACTGAAAAAAAAAAAAAACCAACCCAAAATCTCTTTAAAGAGATAGCACACGGTTGCACCCAATAATATACAACTCCCGGACTCAAAATATTGGTGTCAAAGTGTTTTGTAGGTGAGGGAAGAACATTTTAAGATATGTTGGAAGATTACTATTTGGATAAGTGCTCTTAGCACAAATCTCTCATCAATAGTCCATATCCACACCTCAATCTCCCATGCCCACTGTTGCAACATCATAACATGTTAAGAACATTGAAAAATATATTAATTATTCAGTAACTAATAATGATAAATATTTCTGCTTCTAGTGTGTTCAAGCCATGCCATGCATTTGTCCAGCCTGAGAAGTACTATGCAGCATGTGTTTTTGATAGCTGTGTACTTCCCAACCTAGACCTGGAATGCTCAAGTCTGCAGATCTATGCTGCCACCTGTGCTGACCAAGGTGCATGCATTGACTGGAGAAAACACACCAGTGGTGTATGCTGTAAGTATCTGGCCATAATAATTCATCTTGAATTATTAGGAAGATTATGTGGAACTGTTACAGCAGTAAGGTCATACTGCTTTCAGAGTAATGAAGGCACCAATAAATTGTGTCAGCTGCTCTCCGTTAGTAATTTTGCAGGTAACATTTTTAACAATGGAAATGATAAATCAGCCTGCAAAAAAAAAAACATGTATTAACTGTGCCAGAAACATCTGTATCAGTACGTACATTTTTTGTATGCAGGCAGTTCTATGCTTTGCAGGCATCAGCAGATTACTCTCTATTTGGTGACATGTACATGAGTTTTCATCTGTAATAAGAGCACAAAGGGAAATTTGACACTCCCCTTAGAGAACTTGTGCAAGAGACTAAAATTATGCAAAAAAATTGTAGTCAACATGTAGACTCCTGGCTTTATCACCTTAGTGTAAAGTGCAGTATTATATCTCTATGGCTAAATTACACAAAATTATTCCATTTAGACACATAAGTCTATCTGGAATTTTTCCAAGATTGTCATAGATACATAGAAAAATGAGTGAACAGTATTTAAGTTCTTGGCATAAGGTCATGGGGCTTTTACATGATGTTGCTACTGAGCTGTTCCTCCTTTTTGTTCTTCCATTCCAGCTTACGAATGTCCTTCAGGTAAAGAATACAGAGCATGTGGTCCTATTAAACAGATGACCTGCAAGTCAAGGTAAAAAATTCCTTCGCAGTTAGTTATAGCCTGTACAACTATTCAGTTGTATCTAATGCACAGGTGAATGAGCAAAATCAACCTCCTCCCATTTCTTAAATTGACTGTCAAATTTATTAGCACTATTCTGTTGACCCTAAATCTGGGTGCCTGGACTATTTCTGCTGTTTGGCTATATCAAACACAGACACTGCAAACCCCAATCACTAATGTGCAGATCATTTGCCACTGTGTTTTCAGTGAACGGTTATTTAGCATAATCCTCCTGTATGTGCCTATGACATTAATGGTCTTCCTCTGAACATTTTATCTGACAGAGGACAGAATGAGACATCAACTAAACAAGCAGAAGGCTGTTTCTGTCCTAATGGAACTATGCTGTATGACTCTGGTGTGGATGTCTGCGTGAAAACCTGTGGTGAGTTTTACTTCTTCACTTGGCTGCACGTTTGTTTCCTCTTTGTTTCCTTCCATTTATACAACAAATATTTGATTGTATGCAGTGCTCATATAATGTACAGTAGAGATGCCTTCTGTTATATGACTGGTAATAGAAATTTTTTTTGGTATTTTCCAGGTTGTGTTGGAGTGGATAAGATACCAAGAGAGGTATGATGCTATATGCTTTTGGATTTCAAGTAGAAGTTTGGGTGGGGAGAGGAGAGTGGGCTCCACTCGTAAAATCTTGTTTTGTCATCTCTGTACTTTGTATTCCTGGTTTTACTTCTGTTCCTTTTAATTGGTTATTATACAATCACTCATTTTATTGTTTTTCAATGGCAGTTTGGGGAAAAGTTTACAGTGGACTGTCAGGACTGTATTTGCCTGGAAGGTGAACATGGTATTGTATGTGAGCCTCATGTATGTGACCAAAAGAAGGTCACTTGTGATGGAGAAGGCTTCTATGAGGTCACTGAAGTCAATCCTAAGGACTCCTGCTGCCCTCTTTTCACTTGCAGTGAGTTTATACTCTTGTTTCTAGTCTTTCTATACCTCTTGGAAATAGAAAGGAAAAAAGACTGAACTACCTTAGTACCAGAGATCTACAGCAGGGAGCCACAAAATAGTATCTTTCCTCATGCTTTTTAAAATCAGCTTGCCCAGTACTAGGGAAAATACATTTAATATTACAATGATTCAGTATAACTGAATTTACCGTTATGGGATTCAACATAACTAAAACTATAGTTCTTGTGTTCAGGGCCACATTTTATTTAAGCAAAATGCAGAGAGATTATGGAATTCTCTGTGGATTTTCATTTTCCAGCAGTTGCCTAAAATCATGGAGAGAGTAGGAGTTGTTCCCTACTTCTTCACATACAATGGTGATACTTTATAAACACAGCATAATTGCATAGTGGAAAAAGATTCAAAAACAGTACCCCATATCCAGTGCCTGGATTTATGAGGAAAAACATGTTCCCTATCTGCAATTTGTTTCTTTGAAGAGGATCTGGACTGTTCCCTAGCAATGGAAAGTTCATCTTAAGTGCTTTGATAGGTGTTTCTTTCTTGTAGCTGTGATTTAGTATACTTTTCGTACTTTCGGCTTATTCTTTTTTTTTTTTTTTTTCTTCCTCAGAATGCAATACAAGCTTGTGCACATCTAAAGCCCCCAAGTGCTCACTGGGATTTGAAGTTCATTCTTATATTCCCAGTGGTCAGTGCTGTCCTGCATACCAGTGTGGTAAGTCCCTTGGAAATATATTACAATGATTAGACTTAATAGTTTAAGTCCCTTGGAAATATATTACAATGATTAGACTTATAGTTTTATTTATTACATAATTTAGCACTATACTTAATAAGATTGTATGCAATAGCCTGTTGAAAGAGGTGTTAAACACAGATTCTGCAAATTCACTAATATTAAAATTGGTTATTAGTGCTATTGTTATGAAACTAGGAAATCAGATATAGCTCAGGTGACCCAAGTTCAATTTCCTGCCTGTAAATACTTGTAGGAAGAGCTACAGAATTAACTGGGACGATGGTCTCAGCTTAATCTAGCAAAAAGTCCCTAAAAGCATCCCCAGTAGAAGATAGATTTACAGCTCTTGGTAACTAAAACAAGGAAGTGCTTGTATCTGCTAAGTGGACATTCTTGCTGATGAACTGGACTGCATATTTTGGGCCAAATCTTTTTATCTTCTTTCACATGCAGTATTAGTTTTTATACTTTATACATGTCCTGCTACCAGAATTGGGCAATAACCATATGAATTGTGATTGATAGTGAAAGAAATTATTTGGATTGGTGTGGGGTGAGGACATTTTTTATTCGTTTTTCCTATCTAAACATCTAACTCTTTGCTTATTAACAGTTCCCAAGGGGGTGTGCGTACATGAGAGTGCTGAGTTCTTGGTAAGTTCCTGTTTCAACAGTCTTCTAAAAATGCTTTAAAGACCAGTTAGTATACTTGATCAGAAGTGCTATGAAAAGGTTTATCCAGTACAACAAATATTTTAGAAATTTTCAAATTTCTGTCAGGAGTTTATCAATTTCACAAAGCCTAAATCTTTTCTGAAAAGTTTTCTATGTAGGAAAGAAATTGAAGAGCTGCATGTATGTCAGTATCATGCAGGAATTTGGGTTAAGTGTGCTGACATTTAAAAAAGTCAGTCCACATTTACTGTCAGCACATTATTGCAGTTTTAAGATTATTTTCAAAAATTAAAAGACATATAAATAAGTATTATTCTAACCAAATTTAGATTTTTAATTCTCTTGGGTCTAGTAATTGTACCTTTTCTTTTAATAACAGGGTTTGTCATTGTTATACAGGACTTCAATAAAGACACAAATTATATTCAGTATTTAAAATGTTGTCTTCTTAAATGACTAGCCAAATAGCTATCCAGTTGTCTTTATGATTTTTTTCCTTTTCCCACGCTTCATTTACAGATTCTTAAAAAATTAATAAATGCCTATTTAAACATGTAATAACTCATTAATATGTGATTTTTTTTCCTTAAAATGTGTAGCCCAACTCCTCAGTCTTTGTTGACAAGTGTCAGAATTGTGTCTGCACAAATGATGTTAATGTCAGCACTCAACTGAATATCATCTCCTGTGAACATGTCCCCTGCAACACAAAATGTCAACCAGTAAGTGTCAAACTTAAAGAAACAAAAGACCCCAAAATACCCATATATGTGAACTCCAGTTTGATCAATGAGTGGTATTAAGCAAAGAAGAGGGAGGTGAAACCCAGAGACCAACTCCAGTATTGATATCAACTATTCTTTGAGCAATCTACTGCCTGGGATTGCCTGTGCAACTGTCAGCATTCAGTTCACAGTGACAGAATTAGCTGGGAAATTTCTGTAGACCACCTTGTGGAATAATATTTAATTATTATGCATATTTATTCTAGTGCTTTATTCCATTTATAACCTGCTTCCCTTACTTGTCTCTTGTTGGTTTGGAACACAAAAAGGCACACATCTTGAGTGCACTTCAAAGTGTAATCAATTAATGGATTCACATGTTCTCATTTATTTCTCAAAAATTGTAATGCTATTGTTTTTAATTACTTTTAATTTCTAGGGATATGAACTTAAACCAGTGAAAGGTGAATGCTGTGGAAAATGTGTGCAGACCAAGTGTATTATACACACAGTAGAAAATTCTGAACTCATCTTGAGTGTAAGTATGCTCTATGTCTTTGTTCTCCACCAAATCTGTAAAGTTCCCAGTTCCAGAAAGAGAACATCTCCTTGCCAGAGACAAGACTTTAGTGTGAGTTTGCACCAAAAGATCAAAATCTCATCTAAAGCAAAACCTAGCTTTTTGACCTGAAGGTAGGTCTCATGAAACAAAATTATCTGTAAGGCCCTTCCTGGAATGAGAAATCCAATACCCTTGGAAGGGGTTTTCTTCCAGTGTCTGGAAGCTTGGGCTTTTCCATGTCATTTGATTTCTCTATGCTGAAAAACACTATTAAAGCCCGCATATGAAACAATTCTATTGCCCTAGTAGGATGAAGGTTTAGAGTCTTTCTTAAGTAACATAAAACAGTCTAGCTTTTTGAAGGCAAAATCCATTGGCATGAATGATTTTGTTAAAATACGCCATGTACTTTAGAGACATTTTTCTTTCTCAAGGAAAATACCATATAAAACTGAAATTCTCTCCATGTATGGCATATTGCAATACACATCATGATCTGTATCCCAAATGGCTGTTAACCTAAAAATAACTGACTAGGAAACAAGATGAAAGACGTTATCAGAGGGCGAGAAAAAAATCTGTCTAAGACCTCTTCAGCTTTCCTTATTACATTTTGCATTTCAATTTCAGCCTGGAGACTTTAAAAATGATCCTCACAACAACTGCACTATTTATAGCTGTGTAGAGATTCATGACCAGCTTGTCGCTTCGACATCTGAGATTACCTGTCCAGCATTCAATGAGGATAGCTGCAAACCTGTAAGTAAAAATGGAAAATTTACCCTCTTCTCCATACATAGATTACTTCATTTTATTTCAGCCATCTAACTAACAACAAAAGTAAAATTTAGGTCTGATGGCCTTTCATCCTAATTTCTCAGTCCCAAGTGCAGAAGTTCCAGATGCATCCCTGCACAGCCCTATAGAGTATATAAAAGAAGATACCTGGGTGAGAATTCACCCAGGTATAACAGATAGCTGCCTCTCAGTAGCCAAAATACTGGTCAGCACCAAGATACTGAATCTTTGCTGACTGCTTTGTTTGGGGCTCTGTCTCAATAAGAGCCAGGTTTCCTTGAATGTTACAGAAACACAAGCTGTTCAGTCAATAAGTAGGCTGCCAGTAACACTGCATAGTCTCTATTCAAATACAGAGGACTCTGAGAAACCATTTTTTAGAATTGCTTCTGAGCAAAAATTTCATTATGTTAACTGTAGACTTCCTTCAAAGAATTGTTTGTATTTTCACAATCCTTTGTAAATTGATAAATTTCAAGTCGGGAAGAGGCTGTTATCTTTGCTTATTTGGATCAATGTTACAGTACAGTAACCAGTTTTCACTTGTTATTTCCAGCCACTGAAGAATTGCTCTCCTCAGTTTTTGGCCTTAATGCCTTTGTAATATAGAATAATAATATAATGTAATTTTTTTTTTTGTTTCTTTTTTATTTTAGGGAACTATTTCATTCTTACCTAACGGTTGTTGCAGAACCTGTAAGTATGCCAGTGTATCTGAATCAACAATACAGAGAATGAATTGTCTGCTTAAATCATCCCATTTCCCAGATAAATTTGTATTTAAATAGATAGTTCTATGTTCATATTTGTTATTCGAAGCCTTCACTGCCTGATCTCTCTGGAGAAGTTGAAGCTGAAGAAGAAAGACCACTTAAGGCAATTCTTTGAGTGCACTAGTGAAGCCCAGGGAATGCTGAGGTGCAAGGGACTTCTGGAGCTATTTCACTGAAAGTATTTTCTGCTCTTTCCCTGCAGGTGCCCCTCTGGATAGTCGCACACCGTGCTCTGTGCGCCACAGAAATGACTTTATTGTCTACAATGGCTGCCGCTCTGTGGACAGAGTTGACATGACTGAATGTGAAGGAACATGTGGAACCTTCTCGCTGTAAGTAAACTCATCAGACAATGAGCTTTAAGTCCTGGTGGCACTGAGCTTGTTTATATAAAAGGAACAATAAATAGTAGACTACACAATGGTAGAAGACCTGGAACTATCTGCTTCATGAATCATGGACATAAAATCATGGAATCTCTGACTGACGAGCTGATTTGTCATAATACAAAGCAGAAAAGTGTATTAGATTGTCTTGTGATTCAGACAGCTCTAATAAGGCCTACTCATCCATTAAGAGCTGGCTTTGTGTCAGACCACCTAGGCTAGAAATCATCACAAAAGAACATGGATTATTTCCTGTAATGAGAATGATCCTGGAGAGCAGTCAGACTTGACAACTGGAAGTGGAAAAGCTGCTTCTCTATAGTTAGCACCTAAAATGAAATACACATACATCTTTCAAAGGAAGATTCAAATATGCGCAATCTTTATACAATGAAGAAATGAGAAAACAAATGCTTTAGGTGTGGTGTTAGTAGAGTAACTTGACTGTACATTTTTCTCTGAAATGAGAGACTATATTAAAAATTTGCTATAAGGAAGTGGTTAGTAGGACACCTGGTAGTGAGCTACTAAAACACTGGAAAGACAACTCTGACTCTCCAAAGAAACTGTCGCTTACTGCCTATCACTGAGTCTGCCACAGTGCACTTTACATGGATGAAAACTGATCTTTAGTATCACATGGAACTCTGAGAAGCCAGGGAGTTTATTAGTATTTTGAAATTCCTGATCATCTTAGGGTCTTGCTGTGGTTGCTTCTACCAAATACAAGAAAAAGATGGATCTTGTCACAGTTTGTAGCCTGATATTGACAGATTCTTCAGGTTAGGAGTGGTGATTAGGAAGCTGATGAACACAAGACTGCAAAAAATACTTTGCAGTGAGATGGGAACAGAAAGAGTTGCTGTTTCCCCTTCATGTTAGCACTGTCCTGATTGGTTTAGGCATTTTATAATCACTGCTCTGTCAGATGAGCTTAGCACTTCCATTAGCCACAAGTGTGGCTCTTCTCACAGGAGTTCTGTACCTGATTTCACCCTCTCCTGTGTGTTGGCTTCTGGCACTGAGTAACGCTGCCATTTTGCATGTTGACAGATACTCTGCTGAGGCCAATTCTATGGACCACAGCTGCTCCTGCTGCAGAGAAACAAGCACCACTGAGAAGCACGTGGTTCTGAAATGCCCCGGTGGGCACTCAGTGTCACACAAGTACATCTACGTGGACAGCTGCGGCTGTCAAGACACTGAATGCCAGCCCACAGTCCAGTGAGCTGCAGAACAATGAAGAAAATGACAAGGCGAGCACCCCGAACCGGATCAAGAGAGCCATCAGCTTAACATCAAAATGAAGGCAAAAAAACCCTGACACCATTAACTAAAAGGACTGTGAACCATTCTTAGCTTCCTTGACTACTTTTGTACTTTACTTTTCCCAGTAAATGCATCCTGTTTGTTCTCTAATTAATTGTGCCCTATTTATTTGTGCACAAAATAAGAGCACAAATTTGTATTCTTACAAGTGCACAACCTCTTTGTTAATTTCCAAATCTTCTTATTTTTCTCTGCATTATTAAAAGCACATCTCAAAAAGCATGGCTTTTGTACTTATTCTTATACAATCTTGATGAGTTTGAGTTTGAGGAGAGAAGAAAAGTTCTTTTTCAAGTTATAGGAAGTCAAGTGGCTTCCTAAATTTTTGGGCTATCTACTCCTGGCTCCTTAAAAGCTGATCAGATTGTGCTTCAGAAGACCCAGTCTATAAGGTGGGAGAGAAGATGATGGTCTCTGCCAAAACAAAGGCAAAGATGAATAATGATTATGAAATTATTCAGATGACTTGGAGAAACTTCTAGTTCAGCACCAGAACTTACTTTAGCAGAGCTCTGTATGTAACAACTGTTTCAGTTCATTGCAATTATGTATTTTCACTAAGAAAGTATATGAAGACCACTCACAGTGTTTGCACGATCTCCAAATTCCAATATTTTCAAAACAGATGCCCATCACTAAGCTAGTAATCCTAAGCTTCCTCTGCAGAAAATGGAAAACAATAGCCATTTTTTATATTAATTTGTCTCTTGACAAAGGACAAATCTAAAGGAGTGCCTGTTTATCTTATTGTAAGGGGAGCTGAAACAGGTAACTGGAAGATGTTAATTTCTCTTGAATCACCTTAGAGTACAATGAGGGTAAACCACACCTGTTGTAGTGAAAAAAAAAAAAATCTTTTGGTTTATTTTGTCTCCATTAATTATTTGCAATAGCCAACCCCAATACTGACATCTTTGCTACCTAAAGGATTGGTGGCACCATTTTTTGCTATTATCAAATGCAGCTTAAAAGGCAAATAAGATTTCTGCCCTTTTATAAGACTGATAAGGATGTTCAGAAAATTAAACTCCATATTTTTTTCAGCATTACAAATCTATGATTGGAAAGCAGATTTCTCTGGAGTTGGAGAGGTAGCTGATCTAACAAGAAGGAAGTTTTGTCAGTTTACAGAGCAATATGCAGATTAAATGAAGCTCAGTTTCTGCTTTAGTTTCTAAGGATTAGTTTCTAAGGATTTCTATCTCTACATTGATTGTAAGATGTGACTGAGAGTTTTCTCCCAGTGCACATACAAAGTCACTCTCCTCTATGGGTTCTTTGTTTTCCAACAATTTCTGTGCTGACACTAGATCCATACATTTCCTTGAACTTTTCACAAAAACTGCTTTTCTCAAAATCTTTTGGCATTTAACTGTCTTTGAGATTTTAATTTTTGCAGCTAAATTTGACTGAAGTCAGCAAATAACTTCTGGAGACAAGGTGTGATCAAATCTGCCTTGTTTCCTATGAAAAAGAGATAAAATATTACCAGTCAGTAGTGGCATTTTGCTGCACACTGTATTTACATTGAAATATACAATCTTCCTTGTTTCATTTATTTTTCATTTGGTCTGTAGTTTGCAAGCCTCTTTCTGTCCCTTCTAGTGATGGGCAAACTACTTCTTAATGAGGAATTCTAAAGATCTTGGATAAAAGTCAGTAAGGCTGCAGATTTTAGCTTCACCACTGCAGGGCAGTCTATGGCTGAGAATGTAGAGTCATTTCATAACAAAAAAAGCAAGCTGTCTTAAAAGGGAGTTTTTATTTCATCACGTAGAGAGTTTTATTTCTGAGAAGAATGAATGCTGATCTCTCCCCACAGACATTTGTATGCTCTTAATAAGCACTGGAAAGACAATTATTCTGACAGGAATTTACATGCAAGGTGTTGTTTTTCACAGTGCTCTGATTATGGCAGCCCTCTCAGTTTTGGTGCTGGGTCAGTGCTGCCCATAGGCAGGTTCACAAGCACACACTGTGAAAGAATTCTTACTTACAAGTTCTTGGCAGTTCCAGGTCACAGTGCGCAAGTCAAACCTCCACACCCTTCTGCAGTCTTAGTCACCTTAGAACTTTGTGGTTCAGTTTGCACCTGCATTTCCAGTGGAACTGGATAACAGAGTTGAAGAGATTAAACTTTCTCCAGTGGAGACATCCACTGATAATACTTGAGAGAGAAAGGAAGGAAAGAAACTTTAACTGTGTATCCCTACAAAGAATAGTAGTGGCAGTGAGCAGCACTTTTGCTGCCCTCCACAACCCCCTTGGAAGTAAATTGAGATCTGTATTATCTAATCCCAGGAAGCATTTTGCTTCTCAAGCAAGAGCTGTTGGTCTGCAGGCCACAAGAAGAGATTCTTCTGGCAAATCCAGAAAAAAAACTGAGGAAATGTCTCCCATAACCCTCTCTGAAAGGGCGACATCAGCACATTAGGGACTCACGAGACTGTGGAACCTTCTGATCCCATTGTCTTCCAGGTGGGATCTACCACAAAGGACCCTGTCAGCTTCACAGAAAACACTAGTGCTGGAAGGGAGTGGGCTTGATTCTTTCTGTCCTCAAAGAAATGCTCCAGGAGCTGCCTTGTCTTCTGGAGTCTAGCAAAAAGAGAGCAGTAGCAAGAGCCCATGTCTTGTCTCCTTGCCTGAGTCCTGTGTTCACCTCCTCCAGACTTTCTGTCTAGCCTTCTACTTTCATTGGTGGTAAGGGGTTTCTCTTTGTTTTGTTTCTTTTTCTTCCTGTCTCAGTACTTAAAAATTTCAGTTTTGTCTTGGAAAATGGGGAAGCCTTCTTGGGAGGCAAGTAGGACTTCCAGTCACACAGCCTTTGCAGTCACCAAAACCTAAGGTCCCAGCTTCTGCTGTCCAAGATCACATGGGTTTCATTCCCACTTGTAGTCTTCTCATCCAAGGTAGCTTGAATCTCAAACAATTTTCTTGTCATTACCTGGAGATGCACTGGAAACTCAGTGTTGTTCATAGGACTCTTAAGCAACACAGTGAGAACTTCCATCTCCAGTTTAAAAGGAGTTCCCAGAAGATTTGCTCATAAAGAGAGCACAGTTGTTTTATGAGGCATTAGTGGATAAGTGTTTTGAGAATACCAGAGACAGAAAGGAAAATGCTTGTTAGCAATATGGAAAAATCACTGCTGCTATCTGAGGTTAGGCAGATGGGATTCAGAAAGAGGGGAAAAACCACATGCAAACCAAGAAGAATTCTTTCCAAAATAATACAAGGTAGGGGTTTCTGATCTAATAGCTACCTTGTCTTCTGATCTAACTATGTTCTTTAACAGTATTATTTTGTTCTGTGGGAAGGGTAAGATAAAAGTTTCAGTGTGTTTACCGTTTGAGTGTACTTTGCTAGACCACACTTCACTGAACTAGGCACATGCAACTCTGCACATAAGTCCCAGTGAAAGGACTTTAGTAAAGGCAAAGCCCTAAGTAAATAACCGTGCAGTTACTGTGCTTGTTATATACTGTTGCACTTGTCTGGAAAAGCAAACTCAGATACCGAGAAAAGACAGAATAGACTTACAAACTCTGAGATCATAGTGAAAAACATTATTGTAGTTTTAGGTCTGACAAAAAATGAAATATGTTTAAATAACTGCAACATTGATATGCAGTTTCTGAAATTTCACCTCCCAGTGGAATCTTTGAGGGGTAGGGAGATATTTTAAGGCAGAACAAGTTCTTAAAGTCGAACTGCCCTCTTCCAGGACCAAATTTCCAAAATTAACTTTTTCTTTTCAGGCTACCACAAACACCCATGTTTTTAACTTGCAACCTCGCAGACTAAGGTCCAAACAGGCCTAAGCAGACTACCTAAGCCGTATTTCCATCACTAATATTGAAAATCCCATAAGTCTTTTTCAGCATCATGCTTCTAAAATCTGTTCTGTACAAACTTAATTCCCTGTAATGTTCCAGCTTTTCAGCACTTTACATAAAATATTTGAATTCTTTTCACAAACTAGTCTCTAGAACAGTAAAAATCATCACTGTGATGTTTTCACTACTCTAAGACTTAGAAAAAACTCAAGCAGAGAGAAAGTATGAACAGAGTTGGCACTGAGAAGGAGCACCTGTGCTCCATGCAGCTTTCTTTAAGAAGTAACAAAAGGCAACAGGAATGTGGCTTTACACAGTGCCTATGACCTGACACAGCAGTTAAATTTCAATAGCTTGTCCATTTGGACTAGTATAGCTGAGCATTTCTTGCCCTTTTTTGCAGAATCTATGGGATCTGTATGATCAGTCTTCTCCATAAAAGTACAGGGAGTCTGAGCAAAACATAAGCACAGGTAGTTCTTGGGTGGTTAATTTTACATTCCACACAAAAAATCCTAGGCCAAGGTTGCATAGATTTCCACCTTAACTTGCTTTCTGCCCCATCTCATAGCCTTTCTTTTGGCTTGCGGTAGCTATCAGTCATGGTGGACATGGTTACTGGGTATGTATTTAATGTAATTTCAAGGTTATAGAGACTTCAGTATTAAGCATGCAATGGCCTCTTCTGAATTATCTTGGTACCCAGGAAATAAGAAATTGCTTTTTAAAAAGAGGTAGAATCTGCTTTAGCCTAAACGCCATCAAAGTTCTAAATATTAAAGCAGAAAATTCATATGCTTCCCTTTGTTCTGCTACCCCATATTTTTCCACCAGGAAGGTTGTTTAAAGTAAAACCTTTCAAGTAGAAAATCTCTAGGGCCCAACCTCCTGATGAGATGACTTTCTATGCAGGGAGTCTCTCTTACGTGAGGAAGTGCCAATAGGTCAAAGAGACCTCTGTGCACAAACACCATTCAGCCGTGTCATTACTCCTTGTACATGGATTTTGAAAGATCTACATCTTCTTAAGAAAAACAGAAAAGAGCAGCTGGACTCATTCCTTGCAAACAGGAATAACTAATGTCCTTGATTTGTTCAGAAAAAGTCAAGGAGGCCTATGGCAAGATGAGAGGTTAAGGAGCTTTTTGTCCATTCTAAGGCAAAATGTAAGAAAACATTCAACCACCTCCTACCAAAACTGAAATACTGAAGGCATTCATCATGTTTTTTAATGGACAATTAATGGCCGATATCCATTCCCTCCTTTCCCACTGCCTGCTACAGATCATCTTATACTTAATGACATCTGCTTCAAACTGTGTGGTAGACACAAATCTGATAGAGCAAATAAATTTTAATGTAACTTTCCTAAATCCTATA